AATCTATAAGCTTTTAACGCTTTATATCTTTAAATTTATTATTCTTATAAAATTAATTATAAAAGATATTATTTATTACCCTTAAATATACTCTTAAATATATAACATTAAAATTCTAATAATAATAATAGTTAATAGCTAAGTTAAAGGCCTTAATTAAGCTCTTAAGATTACTAATAAACTAATTTAAGTATATAATATATAGTAATATAAGATAAATTAATTAAATAATTTAAGATATAATAATAAAGAAGACTTATAATATAACTATAAGCGTAATTAAGAAACGCTATAAATTATATATAAACTTAATTAATAGGTATATAAGCTATAAGGTAAGTAATAGTATTAAAGTTACTAAAAATTAAGGAAATTATCCCTTAAATATAGCTAAAAGAGCTATAACTTTAATAAATAACCTCTTAAAAGCTTAAGTAATACTCTTAAAGGTAATAAAATAATTAATAGCTTATAAATATATATATATTTATTAAAAACATTAAAAATCGGGTTTTTAAGCGATTTAAGCTTTATTATTACTCGCTTAAGCTTATATTATTAAAAAAATAATAGATTTAACTTAAATACTAATTAAATTTTTAAAAAGCAAGCGCAACTATATAGGTATATATGAAAATGTATAGTGGGGTGTAGGCAGTTAACTACTAGGCTAAATCGAGCGGTAGTAGCACGAATAGCTAGGGTTAGTAGCACGAATAGCACGACCCATTTTTTAAGGTTATTCGTGGGTTACTTAATTTTCTCATATAGTAAAAATGGGTAGCCCACTGTCGCAGAGAATATAAGGGTCAACTGTATAACACACAAAATACTGTGGCGTGGCCACGTCCGTTTTTTGTGACACCCACGGATAACCCAAGAAAAACATGGATATCCACGGGTGCCAAGGGGTACCCGTTTTTACACACCAGGACATCATCAGCCGCCGTCAAAGAGAAAAATGAACCATGTTTTCGTACCGGACACGGGTCCCCAGCGTCACGATACATCCGAATGTAGACGGCTCAACATCCAACAATAGACATGGCAACGAGATGAGGGTAACTGGGTTGATAACGTCTTTGTGGAGCTGCGCGCCACTGACGCCCTCAACTTTCAAGTAAGCCAGGTCATACCGTTGAACCAAAAGCTCAAAGCCTCGTTGGGCAACAATACTGGGGACCATGCCAACAGCCTTTAGCCTGACGCCTCTCGATCGGCCACAGTGCCGAGCAAAGGAGTCTCGATGCCGTACTGTTATGTTGTGGCAGCAGCAGCATGGCATGTCTGGTGTTCTAGAGCGCACTTTGCTCTCTACCTTCGCAATCCGCTCCACGCGCAGCAGGGTTCCGTGTCTTAATCCGACACGAATGTTGTCGCAATAGAGCACTAGTCTAATAAACTCTAACGTCGTCTCCAACTTCAAGCCCAAGTAGATTTTCACTTGTCTAACTATTCCGACCGTCTTGGTGGTTGTCATGGGAATGCCACGGCTGAACTTGCACATCCCGGGGGCCGAGAGCCCGTGCTAAGCACCACAAGTGCTCAGCTGTAGCTAAATAGGGTGCGTGAAGCCGCGTCTGAGATGCGGCGTAGGTCCTCTCTCGTTGACAGGGTTGATGATGGCCGTGACTCGTCCGGCAGACAAGGTGAACAAGCAGTTTCCGTTGCATTGGGAACGACTGGAGAAGCAGGTCGTTACGCGCTGCGCCGCAAGATGGTGCAGACCGCGGCAGATTCCTTGCTTGGCTTTCCAGTGTGTCGGTAGGCTGGGAGCGCTCTGAACAGTCCCTCCCACTCTATTTCACGACCAAGTACGGAGTAGCACGGTAGTTTGTCATATTGTACGAGGCTGCGAGTAGATGACCCAATATCGAGAATATACCCATCGTAAAGACGACCTGAATACAATAGCTCTAAATCTTCCTCAACAAATGCCTAAAATGCCATGTCTTGGTCCAAGTTGGATCCTCGTCAACTGTAATGCCTAATTCGCCATTTACATGCAGTCAGCTACCCAATAAACTCCACAAACTTGCCCCATTCCTCATCCTCCTTTAATCGTTGCCAATCCTCATCCCTGATGCACATGGCGACCGCCATGTCACCACGCGGAGACTTGGGCATAATGTAAATCAAGCTCTCAACAGGGAAGAATCTCGGTCGGCGCACTGCTTCAGGCCGTCCGAGTCCGAGATTGAAGTCCAGGTCGTAAAGACTAACTCCAGCCCAGGAGCTGAGCATGATCCCCGACGAAGGATCTACACACCCAGTGACGAGAACCTGACTTTTATCCGCGCAGCGACTAAGGAATGTCGCGAGGGCGCGGGTATTATATGCCAAGTCTGTAACGCTGGGGTTAAGCTGATTGCGAAGATCGGATGCCACGGAGCCCAACGACTGCCCTCCCACTGCTCCTATCGATGACCGGTTGTACGTCATGTTTGTGAGGGCCCCGGGATAAGTGGCCGGTAGGCCCAACCGTGAGCGTACATCGATTGCACGCGCGAATGTCGTGTTCGTGTCAATTTGAAGGCGGTTTGCCCGGGCCCGGGAGAGACATGTCCAGATGAATGCGCAGATGGCATCGTCAGTGGACACAAAGTCCGAATCGGCAGGCTTAGTGGCCATCGCCTCCGATTTGAGAGCTTTCAGCGAGGTCCGAGGAAAGTTGACGTAGCCCCAAGACAATCTGGGACGTGTGCCTTGTGATTTTGTGCTCTCATCGGATTCTTCAACGGGCGGTTTCAACAGCTGATGCTCAATCTCAGCGCCAGGCTCCCACGAGGCGTCTGGGAGTTGAACACTTTGGCTCTTGTCCATGTTCCCGACTGCCAGTTCCTCTTGCGAGAAGGCATCACCGTGGCAAGCACGTGACAGCCAATCGATGATGTTGTTTTGCCCGACCATGTCCATGGTATTATGTTGCCCGACAATGGTCAACACCAACCCCCTCTTTCATGAAGTTTGCCTGGACGGCAAAAACCGGCCCATGGTCGTCAACTAGGCCGATGGGTATTCCGGGGATGTTGATGGTCGTGCACGGAGCAATGGCATTCTCGTCCAGCGTTCTGAAGGGAAACCCGGCTTGTCGCATCGCGTCCATGGTTGGTGCTGAGGCGTCATCGCGCAGATCCTTGACGACGAGCGGGATCTTATCGGTAGGTACGATCCTGTAGGTACCCGTGACACCTTCGCTGGCCCCTTCGTTGATGACATAGCCTGCGAGCCATGGAAAGCTCTCTGCTAATCTCTCAAGTCCGTTTCTCAGAGTATGGATAATGTGCCCGTGGACCTCGGGATCGGTAACCGCGTAGACGGAAGAGATTTGACTGTATAATTTGTGCAGGGATGGCTGGTTACCCAGCATATCGAGGAGGTTATTGTCTAGTATTTTGTTTCCTGGTATCATAATGTCTATGTGCTTAGATGGAGTTGCGCCGTTTCGGATGGGATTTTTTTGGTCCTTTAGAATGTCGACCGTTGGGTTTGATGTTGTGCAGTAAGCTGACTGGAGATGCACGACTCGTCGTTAAAGGCGGGAACTGCAACCAGATGAACCTATTCCAGGCAAGGTCCGGCGGGTCCCTTGACGGAGCATACGTAGCTAGGATCAAAGGTTATTAGCCTAAGTGATTGACTGTGAATCATACTCCCTCATAACGGACTAATGGCTAGTTTGGTTGCAGCAGCATACAGCGCAGCTTCAATCAGTGGGACCCATGGACGAACGGTTGTGTCACCCGTAGATCGAACACAGCCATTGCTTTGGTTGTTAGAGTCTTGGTGGCTAGAATATGGGAAACTCGGATGGAACTTAGAGCAATTATAAAATGCCTTTGAGAGTCGATCATAAAGTATTGCCTTTCTGGTCCTCTTTTGGCCAAGACAGGCTTATTCAAGGCATCAAAAGTAGCACTTTGTAAGTAAATATTCACAATAGCGTTGCAAAAATCCTGAGAGAAATGCAAAAGGAGAGCCGGAATGTATTGGCAAGGCCGTAATATCCTAGACACAGGTGTGGTGAATGGAATAAATAAGGGGGGACCTCTTTAAAAGAAAATCACAGCTTCGCGATGATGAAGAGTAGCTCAGACCTTCAAGTAGTATGCAGGAACGTACAATTAGCCCAACCCTTACTTTTAGGGAACTTGTCATCGTAGGCAGAGCAATTAGCCGCTCATATGCTAGGCATTATACCACTCAAGGCCGTTACTATACCCTCATCAGTCCTGGATTTGACCTTGAAAGTATGGAGCAAAAAAATTGGCCATGGTAGCCTTTAGCCGAACATGGCCAGTTCTGCATGCCACCATATATCGAGAAGCATCGAGACCAAGCTCCATTTGTACCCATCAACACCCATTAGCCGTTCACCAATGATAAAATATGTGACATTGAAATGTCTTCCAGAAACACGCTACCATGGCTTAGACGACATCGTAGCTCAGCAGGGGCGTGTGTTGACAGCCAGCATTGATTCAGCGTCCTGCCCAAACTATTCAATTACACGGAACTCATGGACATATAACAGCAGGTGAGACGATACTACACAATTAGATTGAGAATAAGCGCCTAAAACGCAACAATTATCCTGAACATAGGAGCGACGCCAAACACCATTAGCCTAAGAGAAATATTGGCCGAGAAGACCAGCAACTCGTCATGATGAACCAAATAGCTTGGAGAGGTCCCCGTTACTATTCTGCGACAGAGATGTGAAGTTTACAGGGACGGTATAGATGAATTGTATTATGCCTAGTGCAGGATTCAAGATGCTTATTTGGTACAAGAACGGAGCGACCCATCCGCTCCTATAGCCATAGATGCGCAGAGTCGCGCGCTCTGGAGTTAACCGTGTATTATTATATGAGACACTGATGAATGATTATGATTTGGAGTGAAATAAATGCAGTGTTCAAAGCGGCAAGTAATTGAGAACATGTTCCCACAAGATGCGCATTTAGCCTCGTAGTTTTTCTAGCGACACACAGCACTAAGCCCCAACTTCCAGCCAGCGATGTGAATTCAATGACGGAACCGAGAGACTGATTGGCCCCTACCATGTAGAAATAGCCAACACGCCTTCAGGCTATTGCCTCCCACACTTGCGAACAAGTCAACAGTAGTCATCTATTCGAAAGACCTGGGTCGGGCGGAATCGTGTCAAACTGCTCCTACAAAACCTCCACTCCCCTCAAGCCATAATAGTCCTAGTGTCAGCTTTTTATACTACTGCAGCCCTCCTACCCACCTTTACGGCAGGGCGGGAAGTGCCGTATGAGTCTAAACTCTGCTTGCTGAAACTGTTGCATTGCACTAATAAGGGCCCTTGAATACTTGGAATCAACCCCTAACCGAGGTAAGTATGGCCACGGCGCAAGACTCGCAATAGAGCTTGACACCCGAGCTACAATTGAGGCTGTAGCGGAAGCATTATTTGGAAAGTACCTCAGTAGCAGTCTGCGAAGACTGATCCAGGCCCCAGGGAACTCGGCCCATTGAGTGTCTGTCCTCAGCAATCCAGAACACATCGTCTCGTGCTCTCGACAACAGCACCAGATGTGACGATTCATTTTCATTTGGTGCAGACATGCTTTAGTTTTGGCGACCCACGGACTCGCTTGTATTGGAGCTGAAATCTATATCTCACCCAAGCTGTGCCAACACAACCAGACCACAAGGGCCCCACGAATGTTGATCACACTGGGTCCTCGCGCATCATATGACCAGCTCAATAAGCAGGCGGCACTGTCCAGCTGGCTAAATGAGAGAAGTTGCCCGCACCTGGGCGTATACAAGATTACCGTAGACCTACACCACTGACTGCACCAGTCACACAGGTGACACTTGCACCACCGTCATTGTGCATATCTAGTGAGACTTGCAGGGGGATAAATCTGACTCCGTAGGGGCAACACGATGTTGAGCTACATTCTAAGCATATAAAGTTTGCGCGACTGACTGGACTTGCAACGACGTGTCATCGACTTGGGGTTGATTCCGGCTTGAGCTTCAAAAATTCTAGACCCCTTGCATGCTGCCCCATCATCTTGATATTGAGAATCGTGTGGGCGTCAAGTTTAGTGTGCAGTCGAATCCCATGTGGGTGGTGATGTTCCTCGTGAGATCAGTGCGCGTGGCTCCCGTCACAGCTTGCACATTAATTGTCTACATAGCCGAGCTTCCCGATAAAAATTATTTTGTTGTAAATGCAGCGATTTGCTACTTGTCTATTTAAGCCCTGCCGTGGAACTTGGTCTTGTTCGTTCTAGACCTGCGACGTACGGCAAGTATGCGCATGTCCGAGCCTTATCAACGAGCATCTACCCTGTGCGACCAGGAGAAACATAGCCCGTGTAAACTTGAAACACTTTGAAAGTTGTCAAAGAAATTCCTTACGATATGTCTTCTCCTGCCACGCCACAAGTTACTTACGAGTCTACCACCACTGATGAATCGCCAGAAAAGCGGACGTATTCTCATTCAAAATGGAGCTTTGGGGTTCTCAATGACAAGACAACTATAGAAGTTCCAGGTGTGCATACCTGATGACAGAGATTAAGCTTCAAGACCTAGATCAGCTTGGACACGACAATGCTGACACTGAACGCCCAGGCTCTGTGCTGCTTCTTGCCGCGGACCGTAACGAACCTCTCGGTCTACGAAACATCCACGCGCGAACGTCCCATTCGTCTACCCCGACTGGTTTCCCAGTAGATCCCGATAGACACTCCACCAGACGCCAGACGCAGCCAGAAAAGAAAAGGACCCAGGATGGCACCATCATCCTTGATCCGCAGCCGGACGAGTCTGCAAATGACCCCCTCAACTGGCCTGGATGGAGGCGGGACTCTGCTTTATTGTCACTGGGCTTCTACTGCATGATTGGAGGCGGAATAGGATCCTTCATGGCTGCCGGACTCACCAACATTGCCCACGACTACAATGTCAATGTGGAAACAGTCTCGTTAGTAGTCGGTCTCTACATGGCCGGCCTTGGCATTGGATCCGTGGTTGCATCGCCAACCGCAATTCTCTTTGGCAAAAGACCCATTTACCTTGCGAGCGCTGTCATTTTCATCGGAACTTGCATTTGGGCCGGGCTGTCCCCGTCCTTTCCGTCGCTTGTAGTTGCTCGCATCGTCCAGGGCGTGTCCCTGAGCCCAATTGAGTGCCTACCATCAGCCACCATTGCCGAGATTTTCTTCCTCCACGAGCGAGCTTATCGTATTGGAATATATACGTTATTGCTTCTGGGGGGCAAAAACCTGATTCCTCTCGTGAGCGCCGCCATCATTGGAAGATTTGGGTGGCGCTGGATATTCTTGTTAGCGAAACCAAGTGATTTTGGTCCTGCCGGGTCTTGGGACTAGGAGCTAACTGCGTATAGTATTGTCGCCATTGTTGCATGCTTTAGCTTCGTTTTGCTGATTTTGTTTGTGCCCGAGACCTTTTGGGACCGGACACCGACACGAGGACCTACTAAGCGACCAAGTTTTTTCCGCCGCTTCTCCTCACGAAGAGGCATTCCTCCTCCGGAGCCTCCAGTAGAAATTCCAAGACCGCCACAGGCCGCCGGCCAAGAAAATGCTGTTAGAGCTTCGGATAACGGGCAAGGAAAGCAAGATGAGAGTAAACAGTCCGAGACGCCCATCAGCCCCGTCAGTGGAACAACACCAGCCATGGCGCCTGACGAAATACAGCCGGTTGTGAATCCACAAGAAGCGCATGGTAGCCAAGCTGATGGACCTAGCGAAAATTTCGACACGAGAAAAGTAGACAGCGTCAAACCTTCCAATGTTGATTCGGAACGGGGTCAAGCTTCAACAAGTTTGACCCCAGCCACCCAAGCATACACGCATAGACTTCGCCAAGGACCTGCAGAGTCTTTTGCGCAACAACTCAGGCTATATCACGGCCGACTGAACAAGGACAAGTGGCTCAAGGTCATGGTGCGCCCATTTGTTCTTTTTGCATATCCATCCGTGTTATGGTCGGCGGCGGTTTACTCGTGCTCGATCGGTTGGCTTATGATCATAGCCGAAATCATGGCCATCATCTACAGAGACCCGACATTGTACAACTTTACTTCACTCCAGACAGGCCTCGTCTATATCTCTCCGTTTATAGGTGGTATCATGGGCACTGCTGTAGCTGGCAGGGTGAGCGACGTGGTAGTCCGAGCCATGTCGTCGCGCAACGGTGGGTTGTATGAGCCCGAGTTCCGCCTCGTCATGGCAATCCCCATCACACTGGCTACATGCGTTGGACTAGTGGGCTTTGGGTGGTCGGCAGAGGAAAAAGACCACTGGATAGTTCCTACCGTCTTCTTTGGCGTCCTCTCCTTTGGCTGCTCGCTGGGCTCAACAACGTCTATTACCTTTTGCGTGGATAGCTATCGCCAATATGCCGGCGAGGCACTCGTGACGCTGAACTTTGCAAAGAATATCTTCCACGGCTTGGTGTTTAGTTTATTTGTCTCCCATTGGATGGTGGACGAGGGTCCGAAAAAGGTCTTCATGTGGCTCGGGATCATTCAGCTCGTCTTGCAGATTACCACTATACCCATGTTTATATTCGGCAAGCGAGCCAGGTTGTGGACAGTGAGGAAGAATTTCATGGAGAAGTTCTAGATTTAGTTGCTGTGTCTCATGGCAGATGATGAGGTTATTAGCAGTCTGCAAGTCCGTCCGCGAGAAGAATATTCTCTTTGATATAATTACCTGGAATGTAGTGAGAGCATTGTATCAAACAGGCTATTGGGGTCTTCGTGTCGTTGATATATTGATACATGCGTCCTATACGTTCCATATTCTTTCTTAAAGTGCATGCCGCCACGAAAAGCTACTGATATACGATGCACTATAAATTATCGTGTACGAGCAACCGAACAATGGTTACGTATATGCAATAATATCCGTGCAGTCTGGCGTTTTAATTTTCGCACCTGCAGGCTGTGACAGAATATATTTGCCAACCGAGAAGTATGCCCTAATGTTCTATAGTGTATTGTTATATCGGGCGCGACAGATAGCTACCTTACCTGATCAAATACTTTTTGCCTCGCACTGTGGCATCATATTTCGATCGCTCTGAGAAAAATCCACTGTTAACCAATCATTGAATATTTTGACAGGGGGTGTTTTTTCTCCTGTAAGAAGAAATATTTTGGTCAAAATGTAATACTTGGGCAGTAATCAAGCTCTGTTACATAGAGAGGTTGTCAAATACAATACAAGATGTGTAAGTGAATTTGAAGACACACTTTATACTTCTCTTAGGATAATTTAAAAGATTGTAGTATATGCCAAGTCAACCCATTTCCAATATCCACCTGTCTGATTGACAAGACATCATCTCCCACTCAACCCAGCCATACACACCAAGATAGCTTTATAGCTCACAAGTAGTGTAGTACAAGATGAGTGATTAAAACAGGATTTTGGTGTACTTAGTCCTTGACGTTCTTGTATCGGTAGGGCTTCGCAACGTGGCTACCGACCTTCCAGCCAACAGCACGTTCATATGCAACGCAGCCCTTGCTGCCCATGCATTCGAGAGTCTTGTACCGCTTGTGGGCACTGTCCGCCCATCCATTGAACAGGGTAACGTGGCCATCAGCACCGTCGGTTCCAGCTCCGAGCGTGCCGACAAAGTCACCGACCTTGAGATCCTTCCAAGCAATGGCGGTGCCAATCTCAGGAAGGCTGACGGTGCTGCGACCAGGGGCAGTAGTGTGAAGAGCCATGGATACAAAGCCAGAGCAGTCGGTGCGGTACTTGACACCCTGTTGGTCGGGGTAGAAGTTGCTCATAGAGTAGGGGATATGTTTCCGGACCCAGTGCTGGCCACGTTCAATGATTTCTTGGCGTGTGATGGGACCGTTGGTCTCGGAGCTGCCGGGCTTGCCGGGGTCGCAGTCCTTGGTCACCATGCCAGAGCTGCCAGTCTTGACATAGTAGTCGGCGACATAGCAGTCGTCGGTAGTCTTGTCCCAGATAGGGTTGCCGTTGATGCTTTCGCCAGTGGTTTGGCAGCTGATCTTCACATCATCATTTTTGTTGTAACTCTTGATGATCTTATCAGAGGTAGAGGGGCCGGAGCGGCAGTTGACAGTGGTGCCGGTGATGGGATAGGCGCTAGCAAAAGGGAGAGCTGCGGCCAGGGCCACAGCAAGAAGCTTGAACTGCATAATGGCGATTTTTGCGATTTCTTTTTAAAGAGATAGAAGATGGAAAGTTAGTATAGGCAGGAGAGTGAGGTATCTCGTTACCGCCAGGCTTGTTACTCAGGATGGGGAAGAGAATTTTAACAAGATTTAGAGTTGTCTTTATACTTGCGTCTGGGGTATTATTAACAGGGGCTGATTTTCCATCTTTCCCCGCCATTGCCATGCAACTCAGCTTGCTACTGTGGGTCGACGGCTGAACCTGCATAACGCGTATGTATTATGTCTCGATCGTCCCATGGGCGCGACGATTATGGTCCTAAAAATAGTGAGCCCGTAAAACGACTATTCATCAACATTGAGGCTTCTGAGGAGGAAGTCCATCAGGCAAATTTAGTTACGAAGAAGGTAAATCGGGATACCTTGCACGCAATATTTCATAATTTGAAGACCGTCGAGGTCATCAGCATGAAGCCCGAGCAACCGGTAGCCGGTCGAAATCGATGAAGTTGCGAACCATAACAGGCCCCAGACTACGAGTCAGCACTCAACAGTATGATTTTTTTCAAGCTCGCCATAACTGCTTACTTGGGTCCATCTTTATCCACTTTGATTGTCTTTTGTTTTGTTAAAGATGCGCCCAACACTTGGTTTCCCTGACATACGATGACCCGGAACCATAACCAGAAGCGGTTAGAAAACGACTAGGAGTGTCCGGTGATCTTCCAGGCCATACTAGCAGCGGGATTGGCCGCTCTTGCCCCCGTTTGAATCCTTAAATAGAACCAAGCAGTGCTACTCTCTCCCCTTTCAGCCTTATTGTAAGACGGACAAACTTCCGCCACTTGCGTTGCAACGGGTTACTTTCAGATCGGGCAATATCTCATCGCACTGATTTCCCAATTCACACCTAGTGCCGCGAGCGCCGCGGCTACGTTGGGACGATCGTGGTTCCTTGCACGGAAAATGGTATATTTTAGAGCGCCATGAATGACAAGGCTTTGCATTGCATCCTGAATTGTCGAGAAGCTGAAGACTCGCCAAGAAGAATGTGGATGCCGTCATCTGCTTCACCAGATGTTTTGTGGATTTTACGACAGTTCTCGTGAGCATGCTTTGCGTTGCGTCGTACTACGGAAATTCTGAGAGGTTGGGGTTGGTAAAACGAGAATATCGTTGATGTCAATTCGTTTTTTTGAAGAAGGCGGCTTCAGCATCTCGGGTTGTTATAAATTTCGCGAGGCGGTACACAATTGAAGCCCCCAAGCCACAGCTCTTGCCGTGAGAATGCCGTTCGTTTCAAGCCGAATATTCTCCCCTCCGTAGGACAAATTTATCACGTCATCGATGGAGGAAGACGGTGCAGGTTAGGGCTGAAAGACTTGGATTTAAGCTTGCGCGGCTGCTCGCATGTCCAGGATCCGCAAGTGAACAATCGCTCACTGTTAAGTCGTCGCATCGTCGTGCACAACGATCCTGGCGCAGGATGAGCGATGTTATCACGGGTGAACTACATCAAGAAAAAAGGAAATGCCACTTCCACTGGTGCCCTAGATAATTGGACCTTATATGCCTCTTAGTTGTAGTAACAAGAACACGTCACAGCTTCGCCAAGGCGCGATATACACATGTTCACTGACACAATTGGAGAGCCACATGAATAATTACGGACGTGATGAAATACCTAACATAATTGTCGCGCCAATATCCCCGAAAAAATACTCTGCTTAGACTCCCTGCATTTGGAAAGATAGTTCTCTGAAGACATCGGATCAACAGTTATTTTACACTCCAGAGGAGTTAACGAGCTCCTCAAGCAACTAGCGGTCCCTCTGTATACTAGTCTATAGCTTCTCATCAAACCAGAAAGCTTATTTCTAGAAGCCTTTATGGAGACCATAGTCATTTCGACATGCTTGACTTGTCGGTGGAGAGAGGTTGGCCGCGCTTGAGGTGGGTTCGCATAGGCGCTGCAAGATCTTACAATGTGAGCCGAGCCTATCGAATGCGTGACGTTCAATGGTTTTGCCTTGCTCAGCTTCGTCGAAATATTCTTTTAGGTCAGATGCATTGTCAATGCCATAGCCGATTGCTGACCCGCCAAAGCCAGTCACTGTCAGGGTACCAGAGTCGACAGAACTGAAAGCGCCTTGAGTGTCGCATGCAAAACACGATACGTTATATTTTTAAGGAAGAAGCCTAAAGGGTTGGGTTTAGAGACCTTGCATACAGAAGCGTTGGCGAACTACTTACAAGGAAAACCCGCTTATTAACCAGACGTCAATGGCAAGCGCCACGAACTGACCGAGTCATCAGAAAGATATTAACGGTGAGCTCACGTCCACGTAAATCGCGGTTTTAAAGGAAGCTCTCGGCTCTTGACACAACTTATAAGCTTCTCGGCGCTGGGAAGCTTAAATATGTGGTAGAGAAGATTTAAAAACTGGGTTATGGCAGCGGGGTCCTGGTTTCGGCCGGGTTTTGCACCCTTATGCACCGTGTGTTGAGGGTTTCTCTGACAGGCAATATAAATAGCCATGGCGTTGGTATTGTACGCAAGATCCAAAAAAAGTCGAATTTTCCAACGGATTATTAATGAGCAGAAGCGTGACAAGCCAAGTAGACAACGGAAAGTGTCCTCCCCGTCTACTTTATTTGGGGGTCATGTCCGGGTTTTAAATCAGGTCGACATGGGCGCAAACACGTCTTGCCTTTCCCCATAACGCTGCTGGTTGCATAATTTAGGTAGGCGCATTCATGTGCGCCGACAGGTGCGTTCAATGTTGGCCGTTTCGGGATGGGATAACAATACAGAGTTACACTTGGCTTTCTGTCGGACACGTGTTTAGTTAAATGTATACCCTGCATCTCCCCTAGATTCATCTCTTTCTGCATGTCCTACCTCGCCTTCATCTAGTGATTTTGGAGAGGATTAGGATAGTTGTGAATTGTTGATGCCTTGTTAGGGACTGGTTCTTGTATAAACTACTTCATAATTTATTACCATCTTCTGTATTTACAGTTACAGTATAGGGAAAACCTTGACTCAAGGAACAAAAACCTATACCAAGATATTCTGACGACCCTCCCTATCTTCCCCGAATGTATTGACTTAAAACTATGAGCTTAGTTGGCAATTTTACTCTGGACTCATCTATTCATCAAGTTATCACTCCCGGATCCCGTTCTAGAGGTGAATGCATCGAACGGAGAGGAAGCTGTGGCTTCCACTAAATGAGCTAGCATTCTCGGTGAATTCTACGTGACTGCCTGAGCAATCGCTCCCACTGGCCTGGCGTTAGCTTTGTGTCTCTCGGAATGCAGACTGCCTTGACTTACGTGAACAAATAGCACCTCACGCCGTTGGTGACCTCGATGGAGTAAATCTTGTCGTACCTGATTATTGTTAGATGCTGGGTATTCGCTAGCCGTTTGTCAAACCCACAGGTCGCCATGGACAGCCACACAGTCACCGCCAGGAGGGTAGATTACTTGGCTATCGCCCTGGAAGTATTCTTTGCTATAAGCGATGGCCTGTACATATGGTTAGTAATGATGCTCGAATACCTCTCACGCCATGCTAACAAAGACAATATGAAACTCGACTAGTATACCATGATAATGTCGGTCGAGGCGCAAGCCATGCCGACAAGTGCAAGAGAGGAGAGAGCCTGAATGAGTTGCATTTTGGCTGCTGTGATGCGTGCTTGCGAAAGAACAATGCTGGTACTTGAGAAGTATTAGCCTAGGTGCTGCCCGGCTGATGGGTAATAAAGGTGTCATGTGTGAGGGTAGACGAGTAGGTATTTATATATCAACGATGCTTTATGGCAGATGTCTTGCGAGTGCCAGCTTCTCAAGCACTCTAAGATCTCAAGGGAGAGGATTGCGTCTAATCACGCAGATGTCATTCTTGATTGCAATCGTGCATGCCACACTGTCACCTAGGCAGTCCTGATCTCTAAGATGTAAGATGTTCTAGTCTCAGAAGATGAGTAGCGTAAGTCCTACCCTGAATCCATAGTCATGACACTGCATAGTCACACAGCATTTCGTCCAGGATGGACAGCAGCTAGCCACGGGCGGCGTTCTACGACGTTGGGCAACATGGAAGAAATTCATGCTTTCCAATTATGCCTGTCCTTCACAACGTGCTATCAACGGTAAATAAAAAGTATGTAAATTGAGTTCACAAAGGACGGATCAATGAGCATAGCTTTTGGCGTAGTTGGCTGCGCAGTGTTACACTTGTTTTCACAAACAATCGTGTTGACGAATAAATAATCAGCTCTCAGACTAAAAAGGTTGCAGGAAAATGAGTCTGGCGTACACTTGGACCCATTTCGACCTAACAATACATAACGATGGCCTCAAATAAGCTATCTTTTCTTCTTCTTGTGTAGCATCAAGCGGAGCCGTGAGTACCGCGGCCTGCATCTTCTGAGCCGGATCTTTCGCAAGTAAGCAGGACAACGCTGCATTTTTTTTTGGTCCCTCGTCTGATATGCAATAATGGAGAATAGAGTTTCCTCGTCCTCTCTTAGACCAAGGGGGGGATTGAGTGATGTTCCAGGCCTTTTCAGCCATGCCGGTGAACAGATACTGTCATGCAATAGGCGTTACATCTATTAGCACCAAACAGGATTCCGTAGTTTGTGACGCTCGAATGAAAAACGATTGCTCAAAAACATCCACATCATGCAGCTGCAACAGCAGCCACCAGGAAGGTTCCAGATGCGCGGCTGGCACCACATTTGCCATGTTTTGCTGATTTTGGCAGTACAATGTAGTATCAAGAGGCCGTGGGCCTCGAAGTGCGCACGCCGCTTCAAGGATGATGACTCTTTTTGGTCATTTTCCACAAGTGCCGTTGAAGCAGCGGAAGAACCAGACGTGCTTAGAAATTTGCATAGCCATTTCAGCCGACCACATGACCCTTCTACATGCCAATAGGGCTATTTGTCGCAACATGCTGCCGCTGACTCGGGGCACATTCTGCATAAGCAGAACATGTCGCCCGCTTACTCGAGATGTCAACGTGCCACCCGTACTGTGGTTCACTGACTCGGATCGGCGTCCGAGAACTTGGGGTCTGGGATGGAAGATGTCGGCCCGGCCCGCCTTTCTTGCTCCTGGAGGTCGTTCCGGTAGTTGTTGAGGTCATGCCCTTGACATCCCGTCCCAATATCTGTCTCTTGCTTTTGAACGCACCAGTCACTTCTTCTCTATTCATTCACTTTCGCCGCGGGTGGCCAGCTGAGCACCTTGAGTTCCATTTCCGTTTGTCCTCCGTACCATCCTCTTGTCCTCCACCCCGGGATCCGGAGTGACTTCCATCGGGGTGCAAAAGAAGGTCACTTACCGTGTTACTCTTTAGCGTACACTTCCTCATTCAGGATGTTTAGCTACCGCAGATCCCTCCGACATACAGAACACCTGTCCAAAAACACAGTACAAAGCTGGTACACAGCTCGGCTAGTAGCACAATCGCCGTGGACGAAACAGCAAGACAATACGTCGGCCGTGGCTCCTTGGCTGACGTCCAGGGTGTGAAGACGTTATACTTTTCTCACTTGTCATGTTTCACCCAAAGACGAGTGAGCGACCTGGGCTTGTACCACATGAATTATTGTATTGCCGGTGACTTACTGAAAACCCGCCACTTGAAACATCACACAGGGTCATGAAAGAACCCGTTATTGAGTCTGCATGGACGCAGGCGCCCACCATGTAGAGCCTTGAAAATATGGCATAACCTGTGAGTTACGAAGAAATGAAAAAAGCAAAAGAGGCAGTACCATGTATTGTTCCGCCCTTCCGCGTCGCATCATCTCTTGAGTCGGGTAGGAATGTCCAGACATCATGGTGATAGTGGCGCAGCTTCGCCTTCTGCCTCGGCATATCGTTGACGGTGAATTCCAAGAGTTCCACGAGCTCGCCGCGCCCCATTTCTTGATCATCTAACTCGGAAAGACTAATGTCTAGCACTAAACCTTTATTGCTGGAGTTTCCGACGAATTCGGACTGTGGTCGACATGTGGTATTGATTCTTTTCCCGGTTGCTTACTCATTCTTCCACCAGGTCTGACCATATCTGGTCTGCCCTATCAGAGGCTCTGGCAGCAGCGTCATAGAGAGATATACGCGGCTTCATATCGAAAAGTTCTTGGCAAAGTGCTTGCGCAATGAGATCTGTGGGATCGCCTCGCGAGGGCGAGGAATTAGCCATCCGATGATGGCGCTTTTGGTCTCGGGAAAGGTGTAAAATGATGTGAGGAAGCCTTGGAATTCACCCCAATGCGCTACTGCCAACAACGGACGAGAGCCCTCTCCGATAAGGGGGGGGTCGGGGAGGAGTGCAAAGTTTGGCTCGATCGTGGACAGCCATCGAGAGGTAGTGTGTGTCTGAACCATGCAAATCCGTAAGAGTTTTCTCCAAGTCCATTTTCAAGAGTTATTGGGCGGCGTGCGCATCTTGCAAACTCGATACCCGGGAGCCTAGACGATTTCCCTCGTCTCTCTGCCTCGTCCTCGGCCGCCATGACTGCTCTCGCCCACGTGAGCATGTCGTTCACTGAGCTTCGGACAAATCCTGCGGCTCCTTGAATACCTCCGTCTTCCAACTGGTGAGCTTGGCGATGAGTTCACCGATGACTCCATATATGGTGTTGTTGTAAAGCCACCTGGATCGAAAATTGTACGCTACAGGGAGGTGGGAGGCAATCTTGACATGGTCTTGGCCTTTGTTATAATACTCGTCGTAAAAGCCTGTGACGGCATGGTCAACCGGGGCAAGGCCAGTGGAATGTGACAAGAGGTCCTCGAGGGTTTCTCGTTTGCCGATTTCTGGATCGTTGACGGTATTGAAGTCTGGCAGATATGACGACACGGGCACCGCCCAGTTTAATTTTTTCCCCGTTCTCGAGAATAGCACATGTAGCAGAAGTGAAGGCCTTGGTGCAAGGTGCAATGAGATAGAGAGTGTTGGCATCTGGTTCGAGGCCATTTTCTATATTGGCGAAGCCTTCAAAATGGCGGAAAATGACTTCTCCGTTGTGTAAAACGCCGCACAATATTGAAGGGGTACGAAATTTTTTCCGAATCTTGCTGACTTGGTCTTTGACGGAATCGAAGCTGATGGCTGTCTTATTAGCCATGGTTGTCAAGATGAATGCGAACGGAATGGCAGAGGCGTGTAGCTGTGCTCACTCTGGCAGCGTTCTGGTTATCGTCATGATGGAGGATTGAGCGGATCGGCGTCTGGTATGAATCGTAATTAGATTGCGGTGCTGTGCGTGGAGAGGAATGCTGCGGTTTGACGGCGCAAGAATTGCCGTATTTTCTGGGTGTTGTGCAGGGTGAATCGATCAAGAACAAAGAACAAAGGAAGGAGAGAGAGGAGAGAGGAGAGATGACGAGATGACGAGATGACGAGGGTTAAGTACTCGGAAGAGAAAATACTGCGGCCCCTGGGAATGAGTCGGACTACAGCTGATCGAGAAATCATACGTTCAGCACCGAACCTTGCCCAGCCTTACATCGTTCTTTCTGATGGCTCTTTGCATCCTCTTGAACACCCCGAAATATCCTCATCGACCCTTCGTGGTTGTGCTGGGGGGATCCGAAGCTCTGTCAACGACATGCTCAAAGGGTGTCAGGCCATATTGCCAGCTGCCACAACTGGTCATCCAAATGGCACCGATGAATCCAAATCAGCTCAGTCTAACATCCTTCCCAATGCCGCCGAGTTGTTTCAGAGCGCAAAAATCATCAATCCAGGATCCATGGCTGCGGGAAATTGTTGCAAGGGATGGGTTCGACAAACCACTCCAGCAACCCTAGGCATGATCTCGCCTAACCGCAATTTCTCCAGCCCGGTACTAGGCAAAAAATCACCAGCCAAATTGATCTTATCTCACAATGGCGATACGAGAGGATACACATCATCCCTTTGCCTCTTTCCGGAGGAAGGTGCCGCCATCGTGGCTTTGACAAACGGCACGGGAATGAGTGACTGCACAGACTTCATCATGCAGGTCTTGGCTCAATCCATGTTTGACTTTGAACCTAAGAATGACTATGTTGTACTCGCTGTTGACGCGGCGGCCGCCTATCGATCCAGGTACTATGAAAAGTTTGAGGAAGCTTTGAAACGACATCGGCAGGTCGGCACGGAGAGACCAGTGCGGCATGACTTTGTCGAAGAGTACACCAGATCCAGATTCAACTCGGCTATTAGACTTAGGGTCGCCGAGGACGGAGTGTATGGAATCAAGATTATAATAAATGGCCACGAGGGTCAGGCTTATTGTCTCATCACTATCACTTCGACACATGGTCCCTTCAACCGGACAGTAAGGATGATGCTTCAAACGAGGCTATTCTAATATTTTCGGAGGCTGGGAGGAGTATCTGGTGAGTTTTGGGCGTGGATAGGACGGAAAATCAGATGGCTTGACTGGAAACTGGATGGAGTTGTCGTTCGATTCGATAGACTCCTGTGAGGCTATCGTTATTCAGCTGAATGCAACGTGGTGGCGATGACGGTGTGGCATACGCAAGGCGGTCAAATTGGGCGCTAGAGCTGCCATACTTCTCTCTTTTACGAAATTCAACCGTCTACAACTCTGTGACGGGAGAGAGACGACGGGATTTTGCATTATATGAGAACAACTACCACATCAAGCATGTGATGCTGAGAGCAAACTGCTCATATGCGTCAATGCAGTCCACCAATGCCTTGTTCCCCTATTAGCCATGGGTTGAAATGGGCTGTGAGAGATGAAAAAGTTGGAAAGCAGCGTTGCAATAAAATCGCAGGATATTCAGTCAACCCCCCGCCCCGGGTCAAATTTCGTTAGTCGCAAGGGTCACGACTGTCTGATGACGGCGGGACCCCAGGCAAATAGATTAACACAACCCAAGCTTTCCCATCCATGCATGTAGCATCAGCAGTTTAGGGAGTCTAGATGCGTTGTTGTTGGAACGGTATTTACCAGAACTATGGTCGCTAGACGTTGCAATATACTTATCTACCCGCTACCTGTTGCTGTTCTCAAGCCTAGGCTCCTTGGTAGCATTCACATTCTGGAAGTGGTAAAATACGGATCGGTGGAGGCGAAGTCAGTGACCTCGAACTTCCCAAATTCCGAGTTATAAACATGGAAGGATAATAAGACAGTCCTTAGTCTATGAGGTCTTGTCAATCGCCTCTAACTGTGAACCACACGCTAAATCTTGTGACATGATTCTATTCATTAATACTAATATGGTTACCCAAGGATTTCAGCTCGCTATTGAGGGAAGCTAGGCCCATTTTATTAATGTACCCCATATATCCCCAACAAGGATTTATCGTTTTGCTAGAGAGGGCTTGTTTCTCTTATTCATATCTACTGCGCTATCGTACTTTTATATATCAGGATGCAGTTGATTGTATCTTGATAGCCCACTGTTATTACACAATCTCGGAACGGGCGGAGAGCGAATACGTTGGACTGGTCGATACCTCGCAGGAACCTATAGTTCGTATTCGGGTACTCGGCTATTTGGGTATCCGGACATTCAAGTATTTGAGGATCTGGACATTCGGACAGCTGGAATAGAGAGCGAATAGCAAAGTTTGTATACTCCACCCTGGTACGTTGTAGTTGATGCTACGTAGGGAATAATTACCCTTATGCGTAGGTAGCTTAACTGCGCCTAATATAGCGCCTCTATGTGGGAATGAGGTTATTCCGAAGGCGAGAATCACAGCGCACTGAATATTTACTAAACATTCATTTGCCTTTTATGTAGTATAAATAGGATAAGAGCTCTAGTTGAACTAATGTCTCTACCTTACACTCATTCTTTCTCAATTCCTTCACATTACTAAGAAGCGATCCCCGACAAAATGCAAGTTACTACTTTTCTCGTTACTGTGTTTGCTGGCCTGTGCTTGGGCACTACAATTGCATAAGAGCCTGTGCATATCTTCGGGCTGGGTTCTGACTGCCACCATTTGTGAGTAGCACTCTCTTTGGCTACTTTTGAAACTATCTCTGGTGGTCTAACATGTACATTGCAAAGTCATGCCGAAGACTTCGTGGCTGTGTACTTGTCGACATGGGAAAAGAGTGCTTCTACTGCAACCCTGACCCTCTCTGTCAATTTTCGGCAAACTAATATCACTACCCACGAACCCGATACAGTTTATACGTCGACCGTCGGAGTGAACAGGAGCTATCAGAGGGAGCGTCAAGGGCAAAGTGTGTAGTAATTATTGTATTACTACCTGCCAGAGTATTTACATTCGTATCCAACCTTGAGTTATATCGTAAATCAAGAGCATTCCATCCCATCTATGCCATTCTTGGTATGATCGGTTTAACAATGTCTAGAGGGTGAACATTTCCCCTAGCAAGTCTTTTATAGGTAATAAAGCCCAGTAAAAAGACGATTTTCAGGCCATTACTCTTGCGAGAATATAATATTAGTTCCCTGACGAGAAGCATATTATCCCAATACAACTAATACCGGATAGCCTATAAATTCTCTACACATGTATTACCTGTAAAGCCAGCATATTTGCCTTATAAGTAGACAGGATACGGTAACCTTGCTTCCTGTGTATTTGACCCTCTTAGGGTTCCATTATATTTGGCTTATTAGGAATATATGTGTGCCTGTTCAATACCGTATACATCTGCTAATAATGTCCGAAGCGTGAAGGTGGATACAACAAGACTTTAAAGCACGGTACGACATTAAATCTTCTTCTTTGCGGATTAATAAAAGCCACAACGGGCAAGTTCAGGTACGGTTAGCACCGATTTACCGATTATAGCGTTAAACTCTGCGTGTCTCGGATTATTATTTCTATATACGTTGTTTGCCACATTACAGCTTCCTTGTGCATATCTACGTATGCCGATAATCCCGCCCCTGCATTTCGATGCCCAAAGTTATCTACCTAAAATTGGGGACTTGTCATCGCCTAACTAGGCTACGTAGATTGGAAGTAGCCCACTTTCGCATTCCTAATATAATGTCTTGTAACATCCGCAAAAGTAGTTCTCAAGAGATTTTTTTTGTCCACACCACCTCTACTCTTGATAAATTCGGGATATATGGTATCAAAGAAATTCTCGAAAGAGATTTTGTCATATCAATTACCCATTGTTTCTGCCATTTGCTTGCCGTTATCGTAGGGGACCACATGCGTGGCTCCCACGGAACCTGCCTACTTGCTTTAAAAATGGAAGTCGTTAGTGAAGCGATGCAACTTGTTGAGCCTGTCCAAGGGGGGATGTCCACACAGTTAGTCAACCTACCAAGAAAGAACAAAAGCTGCTTTACGAGATCAATCAGCTAACGGACACGATGAAACAGCTGAATAATGCTCGCTTGCAGCTTGACAAGATAATTGGGGTGAATTCGAATTCCACTTGAACAGCCTGAAAGAATACATGGGCGCCTTGAACTAGGGGCTATCCCGGCGTCGCTCTCCCATAAAAACGTTTGTCTATCGCTCTCATTGGCCCATGACCGTGGACTCGTTCGAGACGGACCGAAAAAGCATCTGCTAGCGAAGTAATGAACTATGCAGGCTACTGTACCTGGCCCTTCAAACCCATAATGCTGAACGCAACAATGAGCAAGACCCTTGTAAGTCCAATTTTATTCTATACCATTAGCACTATGTATTTCTGTTTATATGTCTCTTTAGACAGTTAGATCCTATTCCTGTTCCGTCTTTAATCTGTAATTATTACGACCGTGTAGATGGATTTCTAACCTCTGTCGAATGCTGCGAACTTGTGTAGAAGGAGGGCAATACGTATCAACCACTCTCCTTGTATATTCGACTGTCTGCCTTTCTTCCTCAAGGCAGAATCCTGGACGTGTATGATTTCCAATTCCGATTAGAGTCACGGCACCTTACTCAAAATGGTTAAGCCACGTACACACTAATGAGTTCTTGATAAAATTAAATCGACAGTACGTGTCTCTAAGAAAATTGGCGCAATAATTTGCGTGACGGCAACCTCGCCAGAGAAGAACAGGCTGCTCATGGATAGCTATGGCATCGAATGCGGTCCCTCCTTTTCAAGCCGACATACTCGGTTCTCGGAGCAAATTATGCATGGAACGGAGCGGCGGCCAGAATAGCCAATACGTTAAGATACAAGAGATGGCTGGATAGATGTACAATACTATACCTTTGGGGATATTTAAAGTTACTCAACTCCTCAGCTTGCAGTAATTGTCAGTCCTCCTTCGCTGTACTAGCAATACAAGGCAGATACCTGTCAAATAGCTTTCAGCCCATGGATTTACGTAAAGCCACGAAACTTGAAACTCAAATGCCAAAGAGAAGATATTCAGCCGTAGAATCTCAATCCTCTAAAGAAGGCAGTTACATGGCATACTACTGACGGCTGAGACATTTCCTCCAATGCAGTCTGTCAAGTCCGAGGCAACAGTGACATCTATGGGCTTGGCGTCCGCGTCGGTATTTACTTGCCATGGCTGACATGATGGCATCGATTCTCGCCGGGCAGGCGTGCAGCTAGAGACTGCTACCAAATCGCCATGCTTGCAAATGAGCGGCATTTTTTGGGCGCCATCTACATTTCAGCGTAATGTTAGCGTGCAGTGTCTGGTCCAATACAGCCAGGCTGCAATATCGCGGAACTCGGCATCTTGAATGTGGAGACAATGCAGCCTCACGAACCTCGTGGCGGCAGGGGACAGAACGCAATAGTGAAGCTTCCCCAATTGATGCCAAGACTTTCCAGCACGTGTCGCAGTCTCGGTTCAAGCCACATTCATTTTATTAGAACCTAATTAAAAGAAGCTGACCGAGCGATTGTAGGTGGATTTACAATTGGCCAACCAACGGCAAGAAGAATAATTTGTAGTCCTCATCACCGCTATCCTGCTGAAGATGAGGTATACCCTCGACTAAGGGAATGGTCCAGGAACGCGGCAGCTAATTCCGAAGCTGGCGTCTCATTGCTAGTGTGCGGTTCACACGGCAGCCGATCAATTGATTACTTTGGGACGAGCCTGAATCGCGCGCAAAGTTAAAAGAGATGGACCGGAACGCTACAGTTCCCGATAACTATTCTCACTTTCAATCCTCCAGAACTAACTTTGCTTGTATATTGCCAATTAAAGATTCATGACATCCTCGCATTCTTCAAAGATGTATCTTTCTAAATTTGCCATTGCAGCAGCTTGGCTGTCTGGGCTTGCCTCTGCTGATATCAACGGCCGTCATGCCCCTAATAACACCTACAAGCATGTCGCTTTCTTTAGTATCGACGGAATGCATTCGTCTGATATTGAAAAGTGGGTTGCCTCAAAGCCGCAAGGCGCAATCGCCAAACTGCTGGAAACCGGATACTGGTATAAGGGCGCATTGACTTCGGCGCCTTCTGATTCCTTTCCAGGCACAGTTAACTTGGTAGCTGGTGCGGATCCCGCCCTGTCAGGAGTCTGGTATGATGATGCATATGGTAAGCTCCCAGGCCATGACGAATTGTGCATAGAAATCGGCTAATTTTCCCCGGATTAGATCGCTCTCTTTGGAGCCCGTATTCTCAGACCAAGTCAAACTGTCAGGGCGCCCCGGGCTCAGAAGGTTAGCCGATTCTGCCAGAGGAATTACTGGTTGTAGATGACTAAACGTGAACAGTGCTCTATGACGAGACGAAAGATTACGACAATACGAAGCTCTGGTCATCGCCAAACCCCACAGTCGTGGGCGGCAATATTAACCCAGAAAACCTTCCCCAGGCCATTGTAGATGGCAAGTGCGTTAACCTCTATCCTCACAAACGGCTTCGCGTCAACACCATCTTTGAGGTGGTTCATGAGCACGGCGGTCAGACCGCATACACGGACAAGCATCCATCCTATGACATTGTTCGAGGACCATCTGGAAAGGGATTGAGCGTGGGCTACTTCCCCGAGATTCAGAGCCTTGATAGTACGCTTTTGCCCTCCGCCAATACTGGCATCAAGTGCCTGGCTTCGCTGTGACAAAGAGATATGCAGAGCTAACTTCATATGCCAGCGACCAACGTGACTCAGATTATCGGTTACGACAAACTCCATGTCCAGGCATACATTAATTGGATCAGCGGCACAAGTCCTGCCAATACAGAAGTTCAAGAGGCTCTTACCGGTCCCCCAACGCTATTCGGAGGAAACTTTCAAGCCGTATCGGTCGCACAGAAATCCTATGGCTACCAGACTGGCTCACTCTCTTTCACAAGCCAACTTGCTTCTGCACTCGATTTTGTCGACAATTCCCTCGGCAGTGTGGTGGCTGAGCTGCAGAAAAAAGGAATTTCCCACGATACCCTCATTTTCGTCTGCAGCAAGCACGGCCAAGCCCCAATCGATCCTAAACTATACCGCAAGATCAACCAAAGTCTCATTGAGCCATCGTCTGGTGTCAAGATGGCACAGGTCACAGCCGATGACATTGGTCTACTCTGGCTCGACAACCAAAATGATCTGGACAAAGCCGTTGCCGGCTTATCCAAGAACAAGACCCTCCTTGCAATCTCCGATATCATCTATGGCAACAGACTTATTGCGGAGGGATACGGCAACCCCAAGACAGACCCTGCTGTCCCAGATATCATCATTGTCCCTGAACTCGGTGTTGTCTACACTACCAGCACCTCAAAGATTGCCGAACATGGCGGCTTCAGCAACGACGACAGGAACGTCGCATGCTTTGCCAGCAATCCTTCTCTCAGCAAGCAGGTGTTCACGCAGCAAGTCAGCACTGCCCAGCTGGCCCCGACTGTACTTCACGTTCTGGGGTTAAACCCTGCAAAGTTGGATTCTGTCAGACACAGTGCGGTCGAGATCCTTCCTGGATTTACTGATTAATCATTGGCATCAGATGCTGTGTAGATTTGAGCGTCAATTCTCCTTTAATATTATTAATTGCCGCTTTCTATTGCGTGTATTGCATGCTTCCTATTTGATAAGCCCTCTTCTTTTGCCGTGTAAATCAGTTGTCATCAAATCGCCGCAAACCGATGCCAAGCGCAAGTTGAGAGTGTTGCCAGCCAACGATGTTCGAATTTTTCGGCATATTCGTCCTACTCTAGTACCGACTCACACATTGTTAGACGGATCGAGAATGAAGTTATTGAACAATTCATACCGCTCCCGTAGCTTCCTCGGCAACTCTGTCACCACAAATTTGACTGTGACATTGGTCATGCTTTTTGTGAAACCCAAAGTCGGCCCAATCCATTTTCTGGCTAGGTGAAGGATGAGGGATGGGTGCGGGAAATTAGAGCGATCAGCCGTGGGTTTTCCCGGCATGAATCAATCACTAGCCAACTCATGATCGAGCAAAATTTTGCCATACTCGTCTGCTACGTTTGGATTGACCTTGGTGTATCTCAGAAAAGCATTTTGATTGACGTGCACCCTCTCCCTGCTGCGTGCGACAGCGCATTACGTGCTAAGCGGTTGGAACTCGACAAAGAGCCATGAACAGTTACACAAAGGAATCACACGACCTGCCGGAAGCCTTAATCATCTCTGTTTCTCTCATATATATATTCTGGTCATGCTGTCCCTCAAGTTCATATAGAACCAAGGACCTTTGACTTCCTACGAGATGATCTTTGGATTGACTTATTACCACTCGAGCCCTGTATCACAGCCCTTGTCACAGTACGGCTGCGACTGGCAAAGCGAGGGTCGGCACGGAGGGTTAGCCAATACGTCAGATACAAGGGGTGGCTAGATAGATGCAATACTATACCTCTGGGAATTTACACAATCTACTCATGTCACCATCTTGCAGTCATTATTACTCCTCATCTCGCTGTACTAGCAACACGAGAGGCTGGGGACTTCCTCGCAAGCAAATAGAATTTGATCGCCCAATCACTCGTTGTGTTGTGTCCCGAAATTGGGTAACTAGGCTCTGCGTGGAAGTTGCTCCCAGCTAGTAAGCCGGGTTTGACCGAAGCTAGTATTAGTTAGTACCAGGACAGGCACACACAACACACAAAAAGTGCCTTGCAAGTCGTAACATGGCTAAATAGCTTCAATTTAGGGACAAATTTACTACTAGGTTTCCCCATAACTGGTAATTGAACTGTTAATTGTAACAAGAGCAAATTTATCTCGTACCTATTACTTCTCTATGTAACCCGTTGTACTTTAACAACCATTCCATCAACTGGCTTTCCCGTTATCTGAATTGTCTAAAATTTAGCTTAATAACAGACTCTCAAGTGAATAGGGTGTGTTTTTAATCTTACAATATATAGTTTGGATTTCGTTGCGTATTGATTCTTTTCATTCAGGCAAGGCTGGCCGCTCGAGTTCAAGTCCAACTCACCTATGCCCACCTTTTCAAACGCGTACCGATGAGCTATGAGCGCAATGATGGCGCGCGCTTCAATATTCGCAAGCTCCAGCCCAATGCAGTTTCTCGGGCCCCTCTCGAAAGGTCTCCATGCACTTGGCGGGAAGCCGTCGCTCTCGAGCCAACGTTCAGGCACGAAGTCGTCTGCCGTGTCCCCATACACCGCTCGGTCCCGATGCATGATGTATTGGTTGAGGTAAATCCAGTTTCCATCAAGATTGTACTCTCCTTGGGAAGTGGAAACGACTACTCCCGTATTAGGCTTCGCCATGCGAATAGAACCAGCGGGCGCGTAGACCCTTAGAACCTCTTTGAGGACAGCAGAGATGTATGTCATCTGGTGTATGATCTCATCACATCCGGGACCAAGAAGCTTCTGTTGTATTGCAGCTGGATCTTGTATAGTTTCATATCCAAGCAGCCTTTCTAGCTCATCGCGTACAGCTTTCAGCACGTGCGGAGTCCGGGAGAGCTCATAGACGGTCCAGCAAATCAGACTGCTAGTAGTATCATGGCCTGCAAAAAGAAAGGTTTTCAGTTGGTCACACGTTTCAGCTAATATGTCGGGTGTGAGTTTTTCCACGTCCTGGAGACTGAGGGCCAGGATGCTCCGAGGTCGACCAGTGTTCAATTCTGCTTTTGTAGTTTCAAAGTTGCGGGAAATAATGGCCTTTAATCTTTCGGTGATTTGCCGCCCGATTTGACGGCGTCTTAGATGGGTTCGGGGCATCAGCCACCAGGGGAGCTGAAGTTTATCGTCCGCATATGCTATTCATTGTGGTGTCAGCCAGCCTTTGCATTGTTGGCTTTTGATCGAATACACAAACTCTTGATAAGTTCTTTGAATCTCTTTATCAGCTCTCCTTGTTGCGTTGGGTCCACGTGTTGTGCATTCATATCTTCACCCATGGTCACGATACCGATGATATCAAATGTGAGGTTTGTTGTGTGCTGGTCCAACGCAAAGCTCTCCCCTGATTCGGCAAAGTGGTCGAGGATTTTGACATATGTCTGCGCCTTCTCAAGGATTACAGGCAGAAGTGTCATCAAATGCTGCGGTGCGAATCCGGGGTTAAATCTCTTGCGGACGGCTTTCCATCGCTCATTCTTCAAAAGCGTTATTAATCGTGACTCGAACCACACATCCAGGGTGTATCTACCTGCTTGAACAAGATTGAATTCGGCCCAATCAAATCCACAATGCGGTCGACGGATGGCGACTTCATCGCGCTATATGGAAAATCGGCCGAAGGGCGAGATATCTGCTCAGCTACTTCATGGTTGGCAACGATAACCATGGGGGGGACGATGGGCCAGTTGTCTAGAAGCATGATGGGCGGTCTGCCCAGTTTCTCGTGCATCTCACTAAAAATGGCATCTTTTCAAGTCAGCTCTCCGTTCGCCTATGATGACGTTGTGCAGACGCAGCAGGGTTACCAGGATGACGGTCGGGGGCGCCTTGCTTTGTGAATTTATGAAACAGGAGTAGATGGCCCCAGAGCAAAGACGACGGAAGCTGAGGAAGGTGAGCATTCTGCCTGAATCGTCTGTAGTACAGCTTGTTGTAGAGGTATGCGCCTGCAACGAGTACCGAAGTAACCAGTATCGCTTTCACCGAAACGAACGCGGGAACACCCATCTTGTTGGCGTTGATGCGACGAAATGCTGGCAAATGGACGAAACGAATAGCTGCTATTCCGGGCAGAGGGTCAAAGACAGAAAAGAGAGGCCGGATTTTGTTAGCTCAAATGGCTTCGACTTTGCACTACCCGGCGAGGCACGACGTTTACAAGCCGCACGTACGGAATACACGGTAGGTAGTCCTCTCTTTTACAATCCTGGGCGCAACATGAAGCTACACCAGGCTGCGACCCTGAGGTTTCATCGTTATGGGGAGAGTGGCTGTTGGTCGTTGGTTTCCACTGGTGGCGTAGTAGGCCTGAGACGTATGCATGTTGGCCTCGTTTTGTGAGTTGGCAGGATGATTTGGCAGAGAGATCGGCGATCCATTTATAGGAGTAAGCTGACTTGGACCAACAAAAGAATGCGCCGCGTCGCAATAGGCTCGAGACCAGCCACTGGGTACCATCAATGTAATTCATCATTCGGGGCTTGAAACCCGACACGTATCCTGCATATAGGCGTGGAGGGGCCACTAAAAAGGGTTTTGTGCAATAAACTAGACAATCACCTCTGGTACGGAGGGTTGGGTTCTTCGCTGGGACGCGTTGTCGCAAATTTGGGGGTTTTCCCGTCTCACCACCTACCTGGCCAACCTCGTACAATACACCACCTGAATGGGAGCAATCCCGCGTTGCGCATAATGTGGCAGAGTTCTTGTTGATTGCTGGGGTTAATTTCAGGCATGTACTGAATCCAAGGTTGGCACATGAGTGAGTTGTCCGCGACTGCCACCGAGATCAAAAACATGCGAACAGACATCAAGGACATTGAGCGAATGGTCAAGGATCCCCAACTCATCATTATAAAAGACACCAATAATCACTACACAGCTACACCAACATGACATTTTCCAATACACAAACTCCATTCTGCTACCCTGCTCGTCCCCTTTCAGCGCTTGCGGCGTGTGAAGCATTTTTCCCACTGCACAGATAGGTATGGTAGTCCATGTCGATGGAGCGCAGCTCTGAGTACGGCACCATGTGAATTTCAGTTGCCTGCGTTACGGTTATGGTCCCGGTTGACGGCGTTCCTCGTGGCTTCTGCGAGCCACGGTTGAAGGACAGCAACCGTCTCCCACAATAGTTCGGATTCTGCGCTGGGCTTCTTTTGCCAGCCTCCAGGTTATTCATGTCCGTCGAGTCGTCTGCTGTTTTCTTCCAGTAGCGCTGCCAAATGGAAGTTGTGTGCGACAGCTTAGCGAGCAAAGCCTTCATCAAGGGGACAATGACAGGAACGCAAGCACAGACGATGCCGAGGTTTATTTCGGCAACACTGCAGTATCAAGTCAGTCCTGGAACAAGAAACCAATGAATGTCTAGTACTCACGCTAAGCCGTATGATGGCATTGAAATCCAAAACGGATCAGGAACACCACTGACGCTCAGTCGTATGTTTTCAATTCGTGGAGACAACCCAGCAACACTAAAGGCGCAAGCTCTGGAGATGGTCGGGACTATCAGCAACTGTATTGCACACCAAGGCGGAATTTGGAAGGTACATACAGTAGACCGGTTATAAAGAGGGCCGAGACACCAAGCTTTTTCTTGGTGGATAGGTTGAGGCTGGATATCGCCGTTAAGGGTATCGCAATGACGTAAAAGTCTGTTACAATTCCCAACACGCCAAGTACAACACTGATTATTGGCGTGTCATGAGCAACCCTCATGAAATATCCTGGATCTGTCCAGCCTTTATCCCCCGAGCGGGGGACGCTGTAAAATATCCATACTGCGAGTAACGTGGCGTAGGATACGACTGTGAAGCCGATGCCGACCCAAATCATGATCCTGCTCCTCCGCGATGGCGCAAAGATGCGAAGGAACAGGGTCAAGAGAGAAACTTTGGTCAGAGCAGCGGATGCATCATATACTGTGGTTATTGCGCAAGTTCCCTAATTGTCTGTCATTAGCAGGGTTCTCGCGACAATGACATCTTTAATGAAATATGTTGGCGTTACCTTCATCAGCGTAGGTGTCATGTAGCTGAGCGGCACGTCCCAGTAGTGACGTCCGTATGTGTCGTCGAGAACTAGGAAATAGTCAGGCAAACCACGTTGAATTCGAACCGAATATATAATACAAAGTACTCGCATTCAGACAATAAAATGCCGCACAGTCCTGCGCTGGCGCACTATATCGACAGATTAGGCTTTTGTAAATGAAAGCCGGAGCATGCGAAGTGTGAAGCTTCCATGCAGCAGGGTAACTGACACCGGAAAGTATGGAGAGATCTTCAGATGATTAGTATAAAAGGGGCATTGCCAGGCTATAAGATCTCCGTACAATCATCCCAGCCCATGTTGTGCTTCATCCGAATGCGAGTATATACACGCATTATTATAAAGCACAATGCAACAGGAAGAGTAGTGTAGATAGCTAGTCGTGGCACCCAGGCCTGAGACACACCATCAACCAGATTGCTTTGTTGCCCCTTGGGTGGTATCCCTATGGGAATTTTCGTAAGGTCTAATCCGTCCATGTTATAATGCGGCTGGATTTTGCGTTGTTTAATGAACAAGGTAGCAGACACTAGCGAAATTGTGTAGAGGAAATTGGAAAGTTTTAAGGCATTCAGAGCTCCTAGTGGATAGATTGCCTGCTTATCCGAACCACAACGAGGCTGGAGGCTCGCCAACACGCCTACGCTGAATCCTGCCATGGCCTCCAACTTGTGTGACAGCCACTGAGACCCCAAGTATGGTTTCCAGCCAGCGGGTCCTGTAGTCCAAAATGCAATTGACCTTTTCAGGCGGTACTAAAGTTAGCTGCATGATATGGGTAGACGAAGATGGGTGGTATGCATGACTTTGCCAACTCGTATGGAGTACATTCTACGGAACGGGAGGAGACAGCCGAGACAAATCTCACCTTACAGATTAGCCGTGAGGTGCATCCAAGACTTGCAGGCATATAAAGAACCCTGTACTATGTACGGGCATACAGATACTCGTCGGGAGCATCGTTGCTTCGAGACGCATTCATAAGCACGTTCTGGAAATAGGTCGCTTATTGACTTGCAATATCACAAGATCCTCACGACGTATGGGTGTAGGAAGCTGTACGAGGCTTGCCACCTGACATCCATAGTGCTATACCGCCTTTACTTTGCCGATAATACCCAGCTTATTTTCGAAAACGCACAAGCAACCATCTTCTTTACGCTATATTTGGACTATGGTTTGCGAACTTGGTATTGCATGCCCACCAACATGGAGTTGTGTGTTGGCCATGGTGATTGCCACGCAGTTGGTTTTATTCGCTTATCAAGTTGCTCGGTTTCACTACGCGCATCGATCTCATGGACATGGAAAGCTACTACCTAAATATCCATTCCTGGTTCCCTACTTTGGAGCTCTCCTTGCTCTTCTGTGGGATACTAGAGGTACTGTAACCCATCTTACGTGAGTGACGACGTCTTCTCCATACTAGTTGGATAGCTAATCATTATCATGTGGAGATGTTACAATGGGAAACCAACAGTTGCGCGTGTGCCAGTTCTTCCCGGTATCAATTTATACTTTTGCCAGGATCCAGAGATGATTCGTCGCATTTGGAAGGCGTCCGCCTCGTTGGATGTCCGTCCGTTAGCAGCGCATGTTTTCCGAAAAGCGTGCGGCATGTCTCGTGAGGCTGCTAATTTGTATCTCTATGATAAGACGGGGAGAAACTTGAAGCCTTTGCCTGGCACAGGCTGTCTGGAGGACCTCCGGGTGCATCGTATAGTTTACGAAAGTGATCGCCAAGCTTTGATGGGCCCGGGACTGGAACCGACGCTGCAACGCTTCATTGATGCCTTGTCCAGACGAATGTCCGTCTTGACGGCCACGGACTGGATAGAGATGGAAGACTTCTGGACCTTTATCCAAAACACCGTTGCTACCGCTCAGATCGAAGCCATCTTCGGGCCCAAGCTCTTGGAAATGCATCCCGATTTCATCAGTCTATTTTTTGAGTTTGATCTTGTGGTACCTTCCTTGCTCAAAATGCTTCCATTTAGCAGGGCCGAGAGGATCCGTTGCCAGCTCCATGGCAAATTCAGGTCGTGGTTAAGACATACCAGGAGGAATCACACCCAAGCATCCAGCAACAATGATGGCGACCATGACCCTCATTGGGGCTGTCGCTGGACCCGATACCGCCACGAGGCGTTTCAGCCCTTCTTCGATGACGATGCACTTGCATCTCATGATGTCGGTGTGGCCTGGGGGTAAGTGCTGCGCCGTTCGGTTGCGCGGCTCGCAGGGCCAGAATTAACACGATAGCAGTGCACTAGGCAATACAACCCCTTGCACGATGATGGCCATTATTCATACGCTTCAAGATGTCTCGCTCCATAAACGCCTGAGAGGAGACCTAGAAGAGCTCTGTGGCGGTGAGTCCTTTCAAGATGTACACCACAAAGCGTTCACAGGCCACATTCTCCTATCAGCTATATATGCCGAGACACTACGGCTCCATGTCAGCGTCTTCGTGCCAGTTCTTCCGCTTCACGGGGAGCTCGACTTGGGCAGGTGGCGCATTCCTCAAGCTAGCTGGGGATTTATAAATGCCGGCGTCGCACATCACAACAAGGATGTCTGGAATACGAAAGGCGGTCTTTATCCGGTAGACTCATTTTGGGCGGATCGGTTTATAGTCGACCCAGCAGATCCCTCGAGCGGACCGCTTAGGCAAGGGAATCGATACCAGCATGACCTGTCTCATGATGACGATAGCCATGGCAGTAGGCCCCGATTTTCTCTCGAGGGGCTCGAAGGTTCCTGGATCCCTTTCGGCGGTAAGAAGCCATGGTGTTTACAAGTTGCAAATTTGGCCATTAGTCGACTAACTAGTTATCGACGGAGTACAGGAGGACGAAACATGTGCCCTGGCCGCTTCTTGGCTAAAGGTGTCATCACATCCGCCCTGGCTCTGATGGTTAGTCAGTATGACATTGAGCTTCTCATTGACGCAATTCCAACGGGCAAAGACCGGTTTGGAATCGCTATAGAGCTGCCAACCCGCAAGATTCCTTTCCGCATCAGGAGGAGAAACGCGCTTAACACGCATTAACGGTGCGGAATTTTCATACCGAATTACATTTGCCAATACCAAACGAAGTCCAGGTCGGGATACAAAATACGACGGTGGCGTCCAGCGCCCAAGTGCAGAGCTTTTCACGTCCTGTGGCTGCTGCTACACACTACGCCGAGAAGGATGGAATATTGTAATGCAACGACATGATATAGCGGCGTATTGTCTTGTAGTTGACCTGTACCCTGTAGGTACTCTGGAGTCTGGAAATGAGGTCTGGTAGTCATTGACCACTCTGCGCACACGGAACAGGCACGATTACATTGGGGGCCGTTGCCACCGGCACTCTCATCATTACGTTGGGTCTGGTACTTTTCGTCTATTTTACTTTCTAGCACACATATGGCCTTATACATACGCCTCTCACAAAATAACACCGGTTGGTGGCAACAATTTGGGATGGAGCAGACATCACATCTAGGGTGATATGTTACGCTCGTACAGCATGCTCCATAGACTGGTGCCAGAACCCAACCGTTTGTTGTCGGAGGGTATCATGAGACGCATGCGGATGCATGTGGAATTGGAGGGGGCAGCGGTCATAATTCATAATTTACGTCGCCAATGCAACCCCTCCGGTGTAGGCACAGCCCCAACATGAACAACGCTGGCCTTGTTTATCTTGCCAGCCAACGCGTCTTGGCCCTTCCGCTTGGTAACAGTACTCTTTATGCCACGAGAGGTACTGATAAATATGTGTTCTTGTACCCTCTGCTTGACACAACGGGGTGTGAAGTAGTCATCATACGTACTCTGCGTAAAGGTCGACGAATTGGGCGGTTCAACTCTTTCAACCTCGCTGTAATGTAAAGTGCCGGTCCCTGGGTAAGTTATTGGCCGGTGTTGGCTCCAGGTCTGCCCTTCATTTCGCGTAGCATGCCTGTCATGTGTCTGGGCGTGATGCCCTCTTCTGGGAACAATCCAACGTGCAACGAAGCTGCGATTCATCCTGCTCGACACCGCTGCATTTAATTAGTTAGAGGTACGGCCTTCAATCCGTCGCTTTCCAAGATTCATATTCTTACCATTTCCTTTTTTTTCTAACCCAGGTACCACGTCCACGCTACCACATTCCTCCAAGCGTTCCAACTTCGAAGCGCTCCACGCTGGCCATCTCTGCCGCGAGAATGGAGAGTCAGCATGGTATTGAACCTCCAGGAGTTGTTGACAATGATGGCTCCCATCAAGCGCGCCTTGAAGAGTGGCTGCGTGCACAAAAAAGCCGTCGCCGTTGTCGAATCGGTATATCTTTTAGCAACCTGGAGTGCATCGGTCGTCGGACGTCCGAACAATATCTAGACACCTACATATCGGCTCTTACGAGACCATGTCGAGCTATACGGTCGCGAGAACAAGTTCAGATCTTGTCTGGATTTGAAGGCTTAATACTTCCAGGAGAGATGCTTCTAGTTCTGGGACGGCCTGGCAGCGGGTGTTCAACATTCCTTAAAACCTTGTCTGGAGATACTCACGGCTTCCATGTTGGGGCAGGATCAGTCATCAACTATCAAGGTATTATTCAAATCAACATCTACCCATCTCAAGCTGAAATCAATAAGCTAAAAATTGATTTGCCACTTACAGGAATGTCTTACAAAGAAATGCACCGCAACGCACCCGGGGAATGTATCAACCTTGGCGAACTCGATGTCCACTTCCCAGAGCTTACTCTGGGTCAGACCTTGGAGTTTGCAGCTTCAACTCGGCCAAGCCAGAATCTGACATTTGACCAGCAAAATAATAAGCAGGGAGCAGAAGGTACAGCGCGTCTAATTGCCTCGCTATTTGGCCTGAGTTCGGGATACGATACGCGGATAGGGGATGCCCTTATTAGAGGTGTGAGCGGTGGCGAGAAACGACGAACAAGCATTGCTGAGGCCTACATTGGCGGAGCACAGGTGCAATGTTGGGATAACAGCACCCGAGGGCTGGACAGTTTGACGGCCCAGCGCTTTATTGATCTTCTTAGACGCTCGACGAATGTGCTACAGTCTACAGTTGCCATGAGTTTATACCAGGCCTCGGAATCCATGTACAAGGTTAGACTCTTGCTCTCCAGTCCAGGTTCTTACCCAGGCCCCGATTAATCTCAATTAGCAATTCGATAAAGTAATGCTTCTCTATGAGGGTCGCGAGATTTACTTTGGGCCCATAGACGCCGCTGCCGACTATTTCACAGCCCTCGGCTTCGCCAGACCTGCCAATGCAACCACTCCGGATTTCTTGACATCTATAACTAATCCAGCAGAGCGTGTTGCTCGAGAAGGCTGGAGCAACCGCACACCAAGATCTCGAGACGATTTTGTCTCGGCATGGAAGATGAGCCGTCAGGCCAAGTCGCTCCATGATGAGATTGCAGAGTTTGAGTTGGTAAATCCCATCCATGGCAGAGATTCAAGTCACTTGACGGACAAACAGGCTCCAGGGGACGTTACAAGGTAAGCTCCAATATATTTACATTAGTATATCTTAGGCTGATGCGTTGGTTTTGCAGCCTGCGGCCGTCAACCTTCCCCCTTCCAATACACAAACAGATCATCGTGTGTCTTCGAAGGGCGTATCAACGCCTACACAATCACGTCGCCCCTGTTGTGTCGATGCAGATTGCCAATTTGATCCTGGGCCTTATCATTGGAAGTGCATACTACAACCTCGGTGAAGGCTCCGATAGTTTGTTGCCGCGCTCAACCCTTCTTTTTTTCGTCACCATGTTGAATTCCTTCGTCCCAGCGTTTGAGGTTGACCTCATGTATGCACAACGGCCAATCGTGGAGAAGCAGAGTCGATATGCTTTTTATCATACTTTCGTGGATCGTGTCGCATTCATGATATTGGACTTGCCCGCCAAAGTAGCCCTATCCTTTATGCTCCATCTTCCGATTTACTTCATGACAAATCTTCGAAGGACCGGAGAATCCTTCTTCACCTACTGGCTGTTTATGATGGTCAATCTGCTTGCTATGGCCATGCTCTTCCGGATGATAGGTTTCCTCTCGAGATCTCGGGATGGGACACTGACGCCAGTTTCTATTCTCACTCTTTTATGTGTGCTATATACAGGATATGTCGTCCCCCCGCCGTCTATGGTTCCGTGGCTTGCTTGGTTCCGCTACATAAATCCAATCGCCTACACCTACGAAGGCGTCATGATTAATGAACTACGCCGTTGTCAATTTTTATGCTCGGTTACTATTCCAGATGGCCCAGACTACCGCAACATTTCGAGTTTGGAAAAACTATGTGCGGAAGTCGGTAGACTTGCCGGCACTGACCTAGTTGATGGAAGCGAATTTCTCAGGTTGAAATACGGGTACACTGAAGCCCATATGTGGAGAAACATGGCCATTCTTCTCGCGATGATGGTCATCTTCTGTATCGGCCATTTACTGGCAGCAGAATACATCCCGGCCCAAAAGTCGCGTGGAGAGGTGTTATTGTTCAAGAAGCCTTTTGCAAAACTTGAATGTGGTGAAGAGACGGGCATATCTGAAGCCGAAATCGGCGCAAACGATGCGACTTTAGGCTCCAAGACGTGTGAACACGGCCCCTACAGCGAGCCAGATGTCACGACGGCCATACAAAGAAGCCGACAAACTTCAACCTTTCAATGGAGTGAGATATCATATGACATAAAAACTCGTGGAGGGAATCGAAGACTATTATCAGATATCAGTGGATGGCTGAAGCCGGGAAGTCTCACAGTTCTGATGGGTGCCACGGGGGCTGGAAAAACAACTCTTCTTGATGTTCTGGCCGGGAGAGCCTTGCGAGGAGAAGCTCATGGGACCATTTTCGTTGACGGTAGGCCAAGAGGCGCTACCGGTGACTACCAGCAAAGAATGGGATACGTGAAGCAGGACGACAACCATCTCCCCACCTCGACTGTTCGTGAAGCACTGCAGTTTAGTGCACAACTGCGGCAGCCGAGTACGCGGTCTAAGTCTGAAAAGCTGGCCTACGCGGAAAGTGTGTTGAAGATGCTTGATATGGAAGCCTACGCGGAGGCAGCGGTTGGTGTTCCGGGCGAAGGGTTAAATGTAGAACAACGCAAACGACTATCTATCGGAGTTGAGATGGCTGCAATGCCGGATCTCGTACTTTTCCTGGGCAAGTAATTTATTCGTAAATGGGATGTTAGCTTGCTGACTCTTTTATAGATGAGCCAACATCGGGTCTCGATAGTCAGACAGCCTGGTCAATCTGCACGCTCTTACGCAAGCTTGCAGATAATGGCCACACCATCCTATGTACAGTTCATCAACCTTCGGCCCAGTTATTTAATCAATTTGATCGTCTTCTTCTTCTTAGAAGTGGCGAAACTGTCTACTTTGGAGATATCGGGCCAGATGCTACAGTTTTAAAACAGTACTTCGAGTCGCGAGGATCGCGGAAATGCTTGGTTGACGAGAACCCGGCAGAGTGGATGATGGATGTAATAGAAAACCCTACCAAGTCGGCCGACGGCCACCAAAACTGGTCTCAGGAGTGGAATAATAGTACGGAAAGACAAGAGGTACTCGATCAGCTTGCGGGCTTTACGACCGTCGTGCCGGCAGATGCGCGGCGGCAGAATCAAGGCGGATATGGAGCGACTATGCCTCATCAACTGCTCATCCTAGTGCAACGGACATTTCGAGACCAGTGGAGGAGCCCGATTTACTTATACACAAAGACGGCAACTTGTATTGGATTAGTATGGCTTCACTCTTTCCCACCTTGAGTAATCGACGCTGACAAATCCCCCAGGGTCTAGTGAATGGTATCTCATTCTACAAAACCGATAACAATATCCAGGGTCTTGTCAGCCTTTTATTTTCATGTTTTTTGACTTGTCAGTTATTTAGTATCCTCGCCATGCTTATCATTCCACGCTTCATCAGAGCACGGCATCTATTCGAGGTGCGAGAGCGCGACTCCAAACTATACTCGTGGGTTGTTTTGGTAGCAGCCAACTTAGTTGTGGAGGTTGCCTGGTTTACCCTGATTTCCGTCTTTATTTTCGTTTGTTGGTATTATCCGACGGGCATGTACCTGAACGGAGATTCCTCCTTTGGCGTGATTGAGCGCGGGGGGTTGGCCTTTATGCTCTTATGGCTCTTCGTCCTCTGGAGTTGCACCATCTCTCAAGCCTTCTCAGCAATCGTCGAGGAAATTGAAACCGCGATCCAGATGGCTACGCTCTGCTTCTGGCTGAGTCTTGTATTCTGCGGGTATGCCTGCTGGCTCGGACCCCAAAGGTGAAAATACGCTAACTGGCCATAGAATCTTGGTGACCCCGGACCACTTGCCTGGTTTTTGGAAGTTCATGTATCGCGTCTCACCCCTCACTTACTTCCTCGAAGGCATTGCTATTGCAGGCATGGCGGGGGTTCGCGTACAGTGCTCTCCGGTAGAGATGCTTCATATCCCCCTTCCACCAGGTCGCGGGCGGTGCCAAAATTATCTTGAGGCATATATGCGTGATACCGGAGGTTACGTTGTGAATTCTGAGAGCGCTGACGGGCCGTGTGTGTTTTGCCCCGTCTCCATGGCCGATACCGTGCTAAGAAGCCTCGGGTTAAGCACGGATAAGAGTATTGCATGGAGAAATGCTGGTATATTGACTGGTTACATCGTTTTCGATGTAATTTGTGTCTTTGCCTTGTATTATCTTTTGCGAGTGCCTCGGTTCAAGGCCCGGAGCAGATGAAAAAGCAGTATTCTGCTTCACTAACAATCACGGTGTTTGAAAAAAGCATACAGAATCTAGAATTAGACCGTAATAAATGCATGGAAGATAGAGGGGTCGAGTAATAACAAGTTTTTTCTGTATGTCAGATGTTTTTGCCAAGTTATCTTAAACCTCCCTTTACCTTGGCCAGCGATTTAGTCATGATTGGATTGCTGTGACCCTTTAGCAGTGCATCGTTCATGTATCCCACGTTTATGTCTCACCCAGAGAGCATGAAACGCTGGTCATCGCTTATATTTCCTATCCAGCTTCGCAACCTGACAAGTTCTGTTCCCGGTTTGTCTTCTTATACCACCCAGCACACATACCCCCTACTTCTCAATCTTACCTGAACTCTCATATTAATAATGGCGCCAGGTGAGAGTGCACGTTGTCGTGGCGACAAACAGATATCCCAACCACTTTGGGCGGACTTCCGACTCCCACAAGCATGGTCGCGCCAGCCTCGGACGTGACCTTCCATTAGCTTGCTCGACCAAGCCTTGGGTTTAGGGTGATCTACTACAGTAATCGGTTTAGTCGACAATAAAGTCGCATTCCAGTTGGAGTCCGAGTTGAGGCGACTCAGGAAGTGGCTTTCGGAAGGCTCGGCAGGTCCGGCTTATGATGCACCTCCACTTATGTACGGCATGTGTTCGATTTCCACAACCAATTACAGTCACTTCGGCTGGATTGGTAGGTGGGGTGTACATTAGGGCTCGTACCGCCCACAATGTGTACCGGTGTAACTTGTACTTTACATCCCACATAACGGGACAATACATACAGTTACAACAGCATGAGCAACAATTGATTGGATATGAAGAGACTCATTCCGTCTCCCTGGGCCGATCGGCTCCGAGAACGGTAAACTACTAGGCTACCCATCCTACAACCTAAGCTTCCAACACAACCGTGACGTAGTCGAGAAATTTTGCCTTTAGTAGTAATTGTAATGCTTAGCTAACCGTGGCAACTACTAAAAATGGAATGGCAAGTAACGCATGCAATTTGCTAGCGAGGGGATGTGCAGGCATATACAACATCTGTTGGACACTGATGCACTACACACGATTTCTACTACGATTCTATCACATATATCCTACACAATCTGCTATCACTCAAAAAAACAAAAAAGCCATGGAATATATCCGCGAGACTATTAACTGGAATGGCCACAAGGCAATGAAGCCGTTATCCGTTATTATCGTTGGTGCTGGGATAGGTGGTTTAGCCCTGGGAATAGGACTTCAAAAAACTGGGCACAAGGTGAGAATACTTGAGCAGGTCAAAGAGATTGCAGAGGTGGGAGCCGGTATTCAGGTAGCACCTAATGCGGCGCGCATCCTGTACAGATTTGGTGTGTTGGAGGAGGTCATGAAATACGCCAACGTGCTGGAAAGAAACTCGCTCAGGTGGGTGGGTGAAGAAGCCTGGAATTACTACCTATTTACCAAAACCCTATCTCGTGCTCAACAACTGACTGTTACGCAGACGATATGCAAACGATGAGGAACTAGGAACGGCACAGCTAATGCCCGATGCTGGCGATAAATACGGCGCTCCGTTAAGTGTCATTCATCGAGGCGATCTGCAGCGAATCTTGCTACAAGCTGCGACAGCCTGTGGCTGCAACATCTTAACTTCCCACAAGGTCGTCAAAGTGGACGATGGCTTTGAGCCCCGCGTACAAGTACAAGGTGGTCACTGGTTCTCGGGGGATGTGGTGTTTGCAGCAGACGGAATCAAGTCGTCTATTCGAGCACAGATTGCTGCTAGTCATGGACACCAGGACCGCTCTTCTCCGACTGGGGATGCAGCATATAGAGTCTTGATTCCTAAAAAAGAGATGGAGCATGACAAGGACGCAATGGCTCTGCTCCAGGAGAATGTCGGCATGCGATACATGGGTCCAGGTGGACATATTATGGCGTATCCCATTAAGAACAATACTGTGTACAACATGGTGCTCCTTCACCCAGCCAAGGAAAATCAGATGAGCGAAACTGGAAAAGAGACATCTTGGACCACAAAGGGAAGCAAGGTCGAAATGATGGACTTTTACCGGAATTGGTCGCCTCTGATTCAAAACCTTTTGAATTATGTGCCCGAAGGAGAAGTTCTCGAATGGACGCTCAATTCCCACGTCCCATTGCCCCGATGGGTTGAGAACAAAGTCGGCCTCGTAGGGGATGCATGCCACCCTATGCTACCGTACGTGGCTCAGGGCGCAGCGAACGCCATTGAGGATGCTGGCGCCATCACGGCCGCCTTGACCTGCACCTGCGATGTCAGGCTGGCCTTGGTCGCCTACGAGATTGTGCGCAAGGAACGCGGCGAGCGAATCCAAGCCAGTGCTTCTACGGTCCGTGAAACCCTGCATCTACCGGACGGGCCTGAACAGGAGCAGCGAGACAAGTCTATCCGGGCCGCCAGTCACGGCGAGGGAAATCACCCCGATCTGTGGGCTGACACTCATTGGCAAGATTACATGTGGGGGGTGGACATTATGAAGGATGTAATTGGGTCATGGACCGAGTTATCTAGACAGGCTGGGGCGTAGTATCACATAGGTCTATGCTATACAATTGTAGTTAAACGATCTACAATAGTTGAAGTTGGAAGGGGTTTAATTCGCCATCTAAGCTACTTGCCTACACTCTTAACTAGAGGAAATCTGATATTAATGCTGGTAGCAGGGCATGTATTGATCTGATGGAGCACAGTTCGGAACATACACAGGAGCCCGTGTGCCATTTCTTGACTACAGACGGACTTGTGACAATAATTTTTAGATGCTCAAGAGAGGAGCCCGTCAGACCAGGAAACACGATGCATATGACAAGAGGGCAAGTATGCAACATTTTGTTATCATGCAACTGGAATCGGCTACAAGTGTCCTCCGGGAAAGTCATACTAGAGAACGCTGCCCTGACCGACTCTGCAATTTCCGAGCATGGTGGACGAACAAAGCTCATTGTTTTGGCGGAAGGGGGACCAGATTTGCCCTTTTTCGGGATGAGAGCAACTAGGATCGCTGTATCTGATCTTTCACCGCTTGGGCAATTACTTGTGTCTCCACGCTGCCTAGCTCAATCCACTGCCCTCTCACTTTGACCTGGGAATGTTTGCGGCTCAGGAATGTGAGGGGGTCGCTGCTCACATGAAAGACCACAACGGGACGTAGGTATTGCTATTGTGAGCGGTGGTATCCAGTGACAGGGATGGGAAGCAGTCGTCAAAACCAAAACAGAGAGTATAGTCTATGGGAGCAAGACATGTCAAGGTCAAGGTCACGCTCTCGAGTGCAAATCAAGGCACAGGATTACATACGGTCGCCCATTACAACCGACATGTCATGTTTTTTCAAGTATAGCTTGACACCGTATCGTCTAATTATTTCAAGGCTATTTTAAACCATGTCTGTGAGGGACCTCGCGACGGGATCTACAGCAAAGTCACAAGAGCTGGGGATTCAACTGACGGGTTGTATTGCAAGAGAGATGAAAGGGGTAAAAAGCTTGATTAATCATGGCGGAAGAAGAAGAAGAGCTAGCTAGAGGCTGGCTGTACGGCAACAGCGATATGTGCCGCACGCGTGACTGTAGGGGCCCTGACAAGGTCTCTACATATCAATTGATGTCTCATGTGGTACATACATATATCAAATGTAATCAACTGTGCTGGGTCGTGTCGCCGCACTGGCTCGCGCATTCGTTGCAGAGTTGGCATTTGTCACTGAATCCACAGTCGATGCAACGACTCCCATACCCATCACACTGCCAAGTAAACCAATCTGCACCCTCGATTTCGCGTCTCAACAGGCAAGTGGCAGACTTGGCACTAAGCTCAAAGTTATCAGACACCAAAAAGGGGGCTCTCCGTCCATCATTGCAAAAAAAGGCAGCTTTCCATGCCCCATCTCCTAGTTCAGACTTGTTGAACGACACTGCCCCTTTATCAGCCTTCAAGAACTGCCAGGCCTTGTGGTTGGTCGTAAACTCGGCTTCGGCAGGCCAGACGCCGACCCAGGCTCCAAAATCAGCATCGCACCCGGCATTGTTGGCGTTATAGCCCATGAGGATTTGGTTAGGAGTAATGTGCATAAACCGAATTTCGTTACCGCCGTTACTGGGGCGCTCAGCAGTTGCTTGGCCTAGCGCTGGCTGCAAGGCGCTTAGCAGAAGTAAACCCGCGGTTGATAGAAGCATGGCGGAGGAAGTCGAGTGGTGAAGCGTTTGAGTATAGGGTGATTGGGAGAGTGGTTGGTTGATTGTGTATGATGAGAGCAGGATGGCTTGATGTAGCAAAAGAAGATGTAGATGCCTGGTAAATTAAAAAACAAAGTGCGAATGCACATCTTTATAATTTACACTCTGTCACTCCCGCGCCTGGCAAAACTCGACCGGTCCTGGTCTATAACGCGGTATTGTAGCCCCTTTGATATTCCCCGAGTCATAATGTCGCCTCATCTCACGAGCCGTACGAAGGCTGACTGAATATCTAGTAGCTTTTAATATTAGCTTAATTTTAGGTGTTTATTTTTTCCATTTTTCTGTTCACCTCCGACTGGTCCGTGGCCGGTGCCCCGTCATGGTGACTCCACCAGCCTTCGTACGGCTCGCGAGACGGCGTTTGGCAAAGTCGGTACTCCGTACAGACGAAGAGACTGCTCGGCCTCACGCCAGTGGCATCACTTGGTGCATCTTTAAAGACTATAGTAGTTCGGCCCTATAACGACTCACAGTCGACGAGATGCTGTACCCGGCATCGGAAGGACTTCCCTGCAACGTCTGCAAACTTTAAGGCTCTCAAACCAAATATATTCACACCATCACTCTTAGTCACCTTTACCCTTACAGTGCAAGGCCCAGGCAATCCACCCACTCGACAGGCGTTTCTTCTGCGGCGGCAGCATTCTTCGCGCCTTGATCGGCGAGAGCATTCCAGTCACGTGGGATCTTCCAGAACTGGATGGCCAGGCCTCGGCGATGGGCCTTCTCGCACTCCCCCAAGAGCATCTCCCACAAGTCCTTGTTCTTGACGTTGGCGCCGCCATTTCCCTTCTTCCCTATAGTCCTCCAATTGTTCCGCACCCAAGTCTTCGCCCACCGTGTCGAGCCCTCCACAACGTACTCCGAGTCGGTGGCGATGATGACTGTGCTGAAGCCCTCGCCCGGCCAGTGCCGGAAACGCAGGGCGGCGATGACGGCCCGCAGCTCGGCCCGGTTGCTGCTCTGGATGCCGTCATCACCCCAGGGACCCTGCTTCTCCAGACGATGCGAAACTACAAGCGGTTGGCCTTGGATACTCAGCCCCTGGAAAAACGCCCAACCCGCCTTCGGATTGGCTTGGCCATTATTGAGGCATGCCCCGTCGGTCATAATGAGGAGCATGGACTTGTCATTGGGGTGGGTGCATCTAAGACCACAGACCGCCGGTTAGCCAAGCACGAGAAAGTACGCTACGAAGAAGAAAAAGCATCATACCTAACAATATCCATGAAACGAACCCTGCCGCTAAACAGCTCCATCGGTCGCAGAGGGCTAACGGGACGTCTAAACTTGGAGGGGAACACCAGACCAGTGCCTCTCACCACATCAGGTCCGAGGGAAGGCTCGACGCCGATGACGGATGGCGCCGCAAAAGGAGCCAAATCGTCATCCTCATCATCTTTCTCGTCGTCCTCATCATCTGTCTCGTCGTCCTCAAAGACTTGGCCATCTTCACCAAGGACATCGTCCATAAAGCTGTAATCGCTGCAACATCGACCACATTGCACCAATCCGTGAGGTCCACAGACAAGTCGACCGTTTGGCAGCTCACACGGGCCTTCGTCGTCGTCACTGCTGTGGTAGCCGAGTGGGATCAGGCCCTGGGCGAGGTAATAGCCGCGAGCCATTGTGGATGCCTGTTTTCTGCCGCTCTGTTCTGTATGTTTGTGCTGAGGTATAGAACTGAAGTCAACTGGTAAATTGACTTGTTCCTAGCCGAGTTTAACCCGCAGCAGGCAGCCCATGAGCCGGCATCGGAAGTAAATCAAGCCGCCCCACTTCGCAAATGTCTGGTAAATCAACCACCTGCCTCCTATTAAGTAACGTGAATGCATAGCGAGTGTTTTTTGCTATTATATTTGAGACGCCTTTCGATCTGAGTAGATTCACCACTAGAGCGAGCTTAAGTATGAAGGATAGGGCAAGGGATTGGGAATCGTGCTGGCATCCTAGCTGCAGGGGGCACGAGGGACCTGCGGCCCCTCGGAAAGACCCGAGAACAGTCTGGTTTATTTTGTGTGGGCTCCTTTTGCCGCTTTCGTGTCGCGGCCGCCTTGGGCTCTCGTAACTTAGTTAATGCTATGGTAGATATCCAGTGACTTGTATTATGTCACTACATTCGCAGGATTAATATACGCAAATTGTACTTGATCCCGCACGTGTTCCCGAAATATCGACATCATCGAGGAGTGAAACAGATGAATGGTTCGCAATCGGCCAAAGCCGATTCATTCTTCTGAAACATGAAAATTCACTTCGTCCCGAGCCCGCTAACCCATTTTGGAACCACCTTGCATTATGGCGCACGGCATTTCGATACTGCTATAGCGCGACCCCTACAAATTTAAAGTCATTATGCCGAGATATTGCCAAGAGAGTTCGTATAGGCTCGTATAGGCAAGTATCAAGACTGCAGAAATCTAACCATTCTCAATTATTTAAGCCGTATTTAGGGTTTGAACTTGGCAAGGGCACATGTCCTAGGTAGTCAAATAGACCCCCAACTCTTTCACGTTGAGCTGACATTTGGTTTCGGCTTTTCCCAGCACAAGCTGTACAGTCTGTGGCGGAATATGTTTGCCCGTCGCGAAGAATGTCATATAGAGAGTAATAGTTAGGGACTCAATCTGGTGAACTACTCTTTGCCTCCCACTACAGATGTACGCAACGACTCAGAAATAGTAATGCGTGCACTAAGAAGCGCCAAGAACCCTGGCTCGCTTACATTAATTATATCAGACGTAATAACTGACCCGCCTATACATTCGGTAGATCTGTTCGTAAGGACTCTTTTGACAGGGGCTCCAGTTGGACCACGGACACAACGAACCAGACTATCGCCTAATTCTTGGCAGAGTACGGCTTCCTAGTGTTATCAGTGTGGGATTTTCTCTTCATAATACTGAACCTCGATTCATTCATACCCGCATTCATATTGTACAGGTCACGCGGTCACTTCGTGAAAGCGTGGGATATCCAACAATACAGCTATTCGAATTGCGCAAGAGATTCCTAGCTCTCCGCCGCTTGCTAATGTACTTGGGAAACTACTGACAAGTAATGTGCCCTTGGGGGTTTTTTTTTTTGACCTGGAGAAACAGTCGCCTCCCATGATAATACTGCAGTTGAACCTTTCCGATCAGATACCTAGGCCTTTCTAGCGCACTGAAAACAACTAACACCGGTCGACGTGCGATAATATCCGGTTATTATTAAGTCATGGAAGCAATTAAGTTATGGAAGCAAAAGCTGCCAACTACTTACGACTTTAGAGGGCCACGAGCCTGTGGCAACAAGAAATAAGCGTGGATTGTCCTTCACCGACATTGTCAAAGGGCCACTGAAAAGGTCCACTGAGGACCTGAGATGAGGGAGGGCTATTCTCCATGGCATGTACCGAGAACTCTGATATCACAATATGCGCTCGAGGCGAAAGCAGATATAACTGACCCGTATCTTAGCAGTCAACTAGTCAAGCATGATGCATCTCTTGCCCACTGTCTAGACACCGATATCCAAAATTCCAATCTCCTGTCGTAGTCTACGCAGGACGGCTTGGGTACCCCCAGAATTTCGTCAGGTATTGAGACAATGTGTGGTCTGGTTCGAGCCGCGCCAGCCGATCTCCAGCCGATTATTTTCTCATGCCCAAATAACTGGCGAAACCATCTACGGTTGCACGTGTGTCAGAGTGGTTATTGGGTTCAACCACTGAGTCGTGGAACAAAAAGATCTAGCAAAAGCGGCCCATGGCAAATATCCCTAATATCTAGCTTATAAGTGTGTATATCCTGCCTCTCTCTCCATCGCTTTGTGGCCTCTGCCACCGAGCATCAGTTCCCATCATAATACCGCTGCCTAGCAGCGGCAAAATTCCGACAAGTACTTGTTTTCGTATGATTCCGTTTATATATTTATATAGGCACAGAGAGTCATTTATTTTACCTAAGCTATCCCAAACGGTCGTGCCCTGTGGCACATAGGCTCCCAACATTCGCGTTTAGCTGTCGCAATGCAAGCTAGGCTACTCTATCAACACCGCAGTTTCGGATGATGGAAATAAGAACGATTGCACAATAGCTCTAAGAAGAACAATTTCACAAACCCTCCGCACTTAACATGGACCCAAACGATTAGAGCAGCCCCTGCCGAATACTGAAGAAGCATTCTGAAACTAGCTGCGCAACTCCCATCGCAGTAAGCGAGTACCAGTAAGTATGGGGGAGTAGGAAAATCTTCCTCAGGTCACAATGGCCGAGCATTGTTGGAAACAATTCGCTATTTCTGCCCTGCTTGAATCCGTCCCTGCTGAAGCTTTGCCGCAATCATCTCTTCGGGGTATCTTGTCGCGAAGTTACCTAGGGCGCGGATGGTAAAGGAAAACTTATAGTTGGGATATGAAAGGATAGAACTGGTGGAAAGAGCCTGGAATCGCCTCCTCCAGCCATTCGCCATTGTCTTGCTGGCGGCGCATGAGAAATTTGACACGACGATTTATCGACTCCACAACTGGGAGTACTCGCCCGCAGACAAGGCGATAAGAGCCCAGGCCGTCTGAACAGTAAGTGAGCCTGTAGGCGTTTTATATATCTTTGGTGTGCGCAACCCTAGGCATTTTCGTTAGCATTGACTGGTGCCGTAGGCTCCTCGTGTGTGGCCTTCCGACCACCCTCCATCTTCCCGGTGCTTCAAAATGAGGAAGGCTTTTCGTGCGGTTAAACTATTCTCGTAGGTCTCACCCACAGCGGCCGAAGCTTGGTACTTATTGCTGGAGGTCCAACATTCCTTGCATTGTTGACTATAGTACTTTTCCTAGTCGGGACAGTCCTCTGTGATTCGCTGCTTTTGTAAAAACTGCAGCGCCTTCACACACATCGGCCTCCAGCGTTCATCTCGATGTAGGCCGGCTGCACGTATACCCAGAACGATAAAGGCAGTGTCCCAGGACTGGCTGCCGTTAGTACTATTTATGAGCATGCTAGGGCTTCCAAATGTTAATGTATGCCTAGTTTATTCCATCAACGACTCATGACCTATGCTGTTTATAGTCTACCTTTAAGACAGTCGTCCCGTGTCGTTTCCAGTTAACATATTCGTATGACTGAGCAAGAAATTCTTTCTGGAGCGACTTGATAAGACCTGCTCTTTGCATCTCCACCTGGTCGCACAGGTAGGACATTAGCTGACCAGATAGCCGCATATCGACGCAGAGCCTCCGCGGGTGAAATGGCACCCAGTGCCACCCACTCAGGGAGCAACCAACGACATAGTATTTGCTTCTTGTGATGAGAGGCGCGCAAAGTGGCCATGCGCTGCGTTTGCTTTCCGAATGCCCATCTTGGCAAAAGAGGCCGCCCCCTATGACAAGGACTTCGGGATCAGATTAAAAGTGCTTTGGGGGGATTTGTGGTTGACAAGATGCAGTGCCTATACCAAGGCTATTCAGCCAGTCACAGAGACGCGAATACACTGCTACCGGCCCAATAGCTTTGAAGCGGCGAATAGTGATGGCATGATCCAAAACCACGTTAAAACCGCGGATGCCACCAAGATGAAGCAACAGCCGCGAACGATGAGGATGCAATGGTGTGACGAGCCTCGGGATAAGTGAGGCCCGAAACTCGGCATCGTCATGGTACCGCGAGCCCAGAGAGCCCCACCGCCACATCACAAAGTGACGAGAGCGATTCCCCCGCCTTGACTTGCCTCTCAACCAGTTGACTCTTCAATGTTCAATGCCAGCGAATGGACGTCAGCGTTCGAACCACTTCACGGCCGACCGAGCGCTTACTGTGGCAATGTACAGTGCCTGAGATATGGGGAATGTCCGAATCGACAGTCTGCCGGCAAACCGGCGGGTCGCCGCTCATTGTCAGTCTGCCCACGCGCCCCGTAACTCAACCGCTTCACTCGTTAACCTTGATCCAGACTGCCCTACTTGCATCAGGCGAAGAATAAAATGTGATCGCACCGAACCATCCTGCATGAAGTGTGCTAGTCGCGGATTGGAGTGCCCTGGTTTCAAGACAGTATACCTCAAGTGGAACCAAGGCATCGCAAGTAGAGGCCGGCTGGCGGGCAAGTCGGTTCCCATTGCCAAAGGGACACGGAAACCAGTTGGCAAAGATGAGAGCTCAGGAGGACAGAGACGTGCCGGCAAGGACAGGCAACAACCGTCCAATACTAGCTCTTTGGCTCAAGATGCCCCGACAACGACAGTATACGAGCTGACCCCAGCGCTTTCCCCCCAAGAAGCCAAACATGTCGTCGATCGATTCCTCAGCATATCTATATTCAATAGACTCGTTGATCATTTCTGCACAAAAGCAGTGTCCCGGCTTACCTGGATAGACCGCCCGCGCCATCCATTACGAACCATTGTTCGCCGACTCCTTCAGACTTCGGCATGCGTGCAGTTTTCCGTGGGCTCGCTTGCAGCTGCTCACATGTCCATGGTGCTGGACGTGCCTCACCATCAATCCAAGGCCCTGTTCAAGACGTATGTGTCGTTACGCGACAAGAGTATGCAGGCGTTGAGCAACAAGCTGCGCTCGGGGTTGCCGACTCCGTCCAACGTGGCACCAAGTGCTTCTACAAACTGCACGCTTACCGAGGTCCTGGCCTCCATGCTTGTGCTTTGCTACACCGAGGTCCTCGTTCCAGGTTCCAGGGCATGGAGACTTCACCTTCGTGGATGTCGAGCCGTTATTGATCTACAATCGCTGGAGCATTGGTTCGCGGCATCCACGGATCCCATCATCAGATTCCTGCTGAAAGAGGTATCTGACCTGGAAATGTTTACTGGCATCTCAATGTTTCACCAGGATTTCGCTCCTCTGCCGAAGTCGCCGCCGCAGCCAGCAAGCACAGATACAGGCTGGGCATTTACCAAATTGATATACGCCATCACGACGTTGGAGAGGGAAAGACACTGCTTGCGGCAATCCAACGCGCCGCCTCCCAATGTCGATATCCGCGTCTGGTGCAATCGAGCCGAAGAGGCCCGCATCTGCTCTTTGGCCTGTACTGACTGGCTAAATGAAAGTCAGCGCAGCTTACGCGCATCGTTCGAAGCTGTCGCGCGGGCGCACTATTTTGCCGCCATAATCTACAGCTATCAAGCGTTCCAAACATGGCATGAAAAAAAGGCAGCGCTCCCTGGGCATCTCCAACCTCTGCTGGCGGATGTCCGTTTCGTCATGGCCGGGCCGACAGACGAGCTGTTTCACGATTTGTTCTTTCCGCTCTTTATTGCTGGCACTGAAAGCGCCTCTGACCCCTTGATGAGGTCAGAAATCGATGGTCTGTTTCTCGAATCGCTGTCGCGAACCGGCGTATGGTGCAATTACTCCGCCTTGCAGTTCCTAAGGTCGTTTTGGAGCGCCACGTCCACTCTGCAAGAGCCCATGAACTGGATGGATTTTGCCCGGCAAAACTTGTCAGTGATGGAGCCATTTATTGTTTTCTGAGATTGGGAGGCAAGGCATCTATTGGCCAATGAAATATCTCTACTGCCTGCATATCTCTAATAGTTAGTTTCCTGTCCAGGTGACATGGAATTTGTGCTGCAGCCTGAGATCCTATGTGCTATCTTTCATCGAAATTCGTGGTAGCACAACCCCTTTAGTATCTGATACTACCAGGCGGTTGGCTACACGTCAACTCGACAATGAATCTAGCCAGTGATTGAGACTATTTGGCTGTGACAAGGGCTCAAGGAGGGCTTAGAGCTAATAGCTCAATTCATCTAATAACAGTCTTTGGTATCAAAGGTCCTTGGTTTTCCAAGTCCTTGAGGGACCAAAGGTCGCTATAAATACAAGAAGTCGGTAAGGGTCTTTGCCCTAGGTCTCGTGACCGTAGCCCTTGTGTAACCAGCCATTTCCGTGTAACATTTGCCATGCTATCAGAGACTTGAAATTGCCATTTCTAGCAAATGTTTTGTAATAAATACTCCATACACGGACGGTCCAATAGTTGTATCTACACTATTACTACTATTTTACAAAGTAGGAAATCGGCGGCCCTGACTCAAATCTTGTTGAGAGACGTCCTGGAATGATGCTTCCATCCGGGGAAGAAGGGACTTTCCTCAAGAGTCTGCGGTTCCCAACCAGCCTCTATCAAACCACGCTCTACTTGAGACTTCTCGTAATCGGAGAACAGGGGTGTTAGAACATGTTCCGTGTGGTGTACTTGTTTATACTCTCTCAGATTGGCCTTGCTCTCGGTCAGCACTTTTAGACACAAGGAAGGTATATACGGCTCATCCATCAGGTCTTTTACCGGGGTAAAGAACGCCTTGAAGTTGAAGACTATCGCCCCAGATAGAGGCAATCGACGCAGCGTTTGCCAGTCTACGCGAAAGTAAATGTCATCCGGGCAAAGGCCTGGATCCTGTGTTTTCATGCCCTCAAGATGAGGGTGGCCAGGCGGCGTGTACAGGTGTTGACCGACTTCAAACCCCCAGGCTCCTCTCTGCACAGGTTTGCCAGCCGGGAACTTGGTAAAAAACCTGACAACTAGTCAGTCAAGACGTTTGGGATGCCTCCGGTGGCGTTCAACCCACCGGTCCATGCTGAGCTGCATCTTGCTCCTGTAATCGGGCACTGGTCCGTGGATCTCAGCAAGACCCTTGCCCATCTTGACTCCCAAATTCCAACCAGTGGATGCGCAAATAATTCCGGCTCGTAGTTTGTATCTTCCCGTCTTGGGATCCCTTAGCATGATGGCGAAATCCTCGGGAACATTCTCCAACAAGAACTGCAGCCCGTCGGCCCGGTCAACATGATATTGAGTACCTCGGATTCTGTTCACTAATACCCCCTTGATCAGCATAAATTGGTGGGGATACCGGGCACATAGGAATTGAATGACCATCTCCATCAGCTCCCTACATGCGAGCTCCGAGCCTGGCAGGGCTTGCATCACATCTGTCTTGTATTTTTCGACAATGCTCTTACGCAAGCGAATTTGCTCTTCGTAGGTACTCTCTAGCTCAATCCAATAGTCGGGCTCCATCTTCTGAATCGCTGCAAGTAGCGCATTCCCCATCAGCACTGCTCGCCAGGTGTGAAAGTTGAAACATCCATCTCACCCATGGTTTGGTTATATGGCCACCTCAGTGGTCTATATGGTCTTGGCCTTGCCGTCGCAATGTCGAAGTCATTTGCGGCATGAGGCAGAGGCACCTCGGACAATGCTGCATAGTTTGGGAAGCTCCCCAAAGACCGTATCTCCCCAACACTGAATCCACTGAACACGATTCTTGATGGTGATGCGAGGCGATAATCTTCCTCGAGGTCCAGGAGTATTTCAGGGTGTTTTGACGGGCTGGTTGAACAGGCGTCTTCTCCTCCCCCGTTGGCCGGCTCGATGCAGGCAAGGAGTTTTCGCTGCGATGGTGGAAAGACATCAGAATAGTCAGTGGACTTTGGCTGAGGTATTGTCCTTGCCGATATCTCAGGCCACAGTAGTTTTTTGAGCGCCGGCAATAGCTTGATGAGGATTCTGCCAAGTACATACGCCGCGGCGGTGCAGGATATGACCACAGCGTTGTGTTTCGCATTGGAAAGGTTTTGTTCCATTATTGCCGTAAAATCTCCCATGGCATGAACTTGAACAAGTGCTTAGTACATTTAGTCTTGAAGAAAAGGAGCGACGGGCGTGGATCAGCACCTGGCCGTTTAAAGTAACTCAAACTCTACAATTACAACCAGCAAACCTACCACTCGCCGAAGCCACGGTGATTCTGATGTTTGCATTTAAGCACCCCAACACGTCCAACATGAAGATGTCCAAGCTTTCCTTCCCCTTGGTTTGGCATCATGTGAATCCACAAACCTGGCAACTTCTCGCGGGGCCTTCCCCATTTGTGTCGATGTGGCTGTCGGCTTTCGGCATTCAAGATCTGGTAGTTTCTCAATCGACCTGCAATTTCGGAACTAACGCCAAACCCCCACCCCCCTACCCCAAAAACAAAACTCGTGGCCTGTAGTGCTTATTTCCAGAGGTCCATATTTGATTGATTTGATACGTCAAGTTCCTCCAGTCACCACTAGTCTAGGGCACCCCCAAGTTTTGTTCTTGACATCTCGACAATATCTGCCTACTCTCACTACCCGAGTCAATTGGGCTAATGAGGACCTTGAATTATGCTTTCGGTAGCGATCCGAGTCCACTGACGCCAAAACCTCCATAACGCATCAGGAGGCCTGGAGGCCGGACCTCAAGTGTCCAGATAGATGTGTCTAGTAGATATAGCACGCCTAGTTTACTTTGTTTATATATCTACCGTTTTTACTGAATCCATAGTCAGCTTATTCAGCAAATCGCGTGATTGGTTTAGTGGTAAAATTCTCCGTTGCCATCCGAGCAGCGTCGGGGAGCCCTGGGTTCGATTCCCAGATCACGCAGCTATGCCGTGCCAAGTATCCTCCAATAGTTTGGAGGTTAAATTTTTTTAGCTGCTTATTTTCTGATGTTTTTTTCTTTTATGGCTTGGCAGCTTTTCTCTCTAGTAGGCGAGGCTGTCGCGAGATAGCCTTTGCCGGGCCCGATCGTCACTCGTGGAAATGCCGATGCTCCTGGGCATGTCGAGTATGCCTCTCTCGCTTATTCTTGTTCAAGACTTGACAGCTATATATGGCATTGGTCATGTGTACAGAGGCATCAGAGTCGGCTTGATGCTATGAGAATGGCTGAGGATATAGCAAACGGATATGGAAAGCCCATCCTCTGTTGCCCGGTTCGACACATTTCACAACACGCGGTGGCGTAGGATAGACAGGCCACGTCTCATTTGCTAATGATGAGCCATGTGCTTTTGCATCGGCTTTGTGCTCTCTGAACAGCTGTCCAAGCTAGTGAGCCTTTGTGGGAAAACACGGCCCCTAGATCGAGAGAATGTGTTGGAGTAGGGTTAGGGTTTATACTGCTCCGATTAAACGCGCTAAAATACTGCTCCCATTAGAGATTCTCGTTAGAGTAATATATATGGCTTTTATTTAATCTCAATATTCATGAAAACAGGTCCTTTATTATAGCATGATCGCCCTAGCACGTTGCGGCAATGACCTTCGACGAGTCGAGGGGCCAACGACTTAGTATAAAGACATACCCGCCTCCAAAGAATCCCCAGCCAAGAACTGTGACGAGAGGCGGGCTTCGACAATGGATTCTCGAGGGGCAGAAATCAGGCAAGGACTTGGTGCTTGCCGACCTCCGCCGCGAACATCACGAGGTCATTGAAACTTCAAGTTCTAGACCTTCGATAAACCTCGTGGTTGTCCGTCATCCGACATATTCTGGGGCAAAAAAATCCAAGGCACGATCAACCTCCCGGCACAGAGAGTATACCCGTCCATTCCAAGCCTGTATACGCTACTGAAGGCAGCAGGAGTTAAGAAAGTCCTATGGACCTGCAGCATGTGAATGTCCACCGAATACTAAGCTCCTGCAAAAGCCAAGCTAACTTTCAACAGCCACGTCTCGCAAGAGAGGCAACTGTGTGGTCGGATGGTTCGACGACTTCGTCAGAGAGAAGGGTGATTGGGAAATCAAGAGCTACACGCTTATCGAAGCACTTCTTGGCTGGGCTACCGCTGGCAAGAACTCTACTGAGCTGATGGAAGAGTATGACGAGGAGGTGTGGCATGGAGATGATTCCAGCCATCGATCCGCAGTTTAGTCATGCTCTCGGCGGCTCAGTCGTTTGGTAGTTCGGAACGAGTTTGAAGCATATACACCGGATTCTAAATGGGCAATGCACCGCTTAAAAGTAGATGACGATCATGTGAAGAGCCAACTAGGAAGTGGCACCTAGCTACTGTCGATGTTAGGAACAGTTTGTGGGACCTTGGCACTGAAGTGATGGCTGTATTTCCTGGTGAGCGTCTCAACTGCTCACTTAGATGCCTGGAAGCGCTCTAATAAGAGTCAAGTCGATCCGTCGATCCGTCGATCCCGCTGTTATTACGTGCATTCCTGGGCGGCCGCAGGCTAACTCATGCAGCTGACCTCGGCTACATCTATGGCTCCAATCATTATACAAAGAGAAAATGCGCCGCAACAGCACCAATAATGACCAACAACAGCGGTGTATACTTGTTGGTAAACTTGTAGACAACCCCCAAGGAAAGCATGTACAAAACTGCTGCCGGGCCGACCTGCGCCGTTGTAACAATCATGTCATCCACGGCCTTGTTCTTCACTTTCTCAAGGGAGCCCTCGATGCTGGCTTTCAGGATTTGCGCAGCCATGATTGCTATGACACCAATAACTGAACCACACAGACCGTCGAAGAAGCTGGCGAGCAGCTATTTCGAGTTAGCAGGGTTTTAAAGAATTTTAATGGGCAGCTGAAAGAGTCTGGTCGGTTTTTTCCAACCTTGTTTCGCACTAATTTCTCTAATAATTCGTGGCCCGCAATGGTAAAGAGAAAACAAGGGAAAAAATCCCCAGCGTGATGACAATAACTCCCGCAAACGCTCTGCCAACGGAGCCCTGAGTGTAAGCACCCTGGAAACCCACAAAGGTTACAAAAATGACTAATAGTGTGCTAGCAGGATATTCCCAATAGTAATTCCATTAATGAAGACGCTCTGGGGGAGCTACGCTCCTATTAGGACTAGAGTGTAAAAACGGGTACCCGTAGGCACTCGTAGATATTTAAGTTTTTCTTAGGTTATTTATAGGTTACTTGTTTTATTATATAAGTAATTTAAGTATACTTTAAGTAATCTAATATAAAGATAAGTATCTTATAAATACTTATAAACGTATAATAATATAATATCACGGGTAAGCAACTCACACGAGTACCCGTAGACCTTTTACACCCTAATCAGGACAGCCTTAACTTGCACAAATGGTATGGCGGTGTAGGCGCCGCCAAATGACAGCGTGCCAGCAACCAGACCCAGCAAGAAGAGATGGATCAGTGACGGCGTCCGAGCGATGCCAAGGGCCAGGGATACGGGCGATGGGACACCACGGAAGACGACGTAGAGTGCAAAGCCCGCGTACTGCAAGATGAAGAGCGCGGCCGCGGGGATCCAGAGCCGCCGAGATATGAAGGTATAGATGACGCCGTAGAGACCGAGAGATATGAAGCTATGGGGGTTTGCTCGAGTCAGTCCGAATGGGTTACCCGTAGAAAGGCATCTACCGTTTGCTCTTTGATCGCTCAATGGAGAGAGGAAAACTGACATGTTTATGCGAAGCGCGCCATTGACTGCTGTGCAGATGGCCGCAATTACCAGAAACGGGTCGATTTTCTTGGTGTCATGCTTCCTCACTGGGTGGTCTGCGATCTTGTGGGTTGCTCGCGAGATCTGGACCAGAGCCAAATGATTAGACATGTCCTCAAAACGGGACAGAGAACCTACCATGGCCGCGACGACGGGTCATAGAGCCCGAAATGAGGCATTAAAGTACTTGTTCTCAAATCCGGCCGACGAATAGAGGTAGCTCGCCAGGAGCATTAAAACGAAACCGGGCAGGATGAAGGCAATTCCGGCAATCATCCCACCTATCCTCCCCGCGGATAGGCAGCCAAAAAACATGCACAACTCGACAGCCTCAGGTCCGGGGAGGATCTGATAGACAGAGAAGACGGGTTGGAAGCGTAGGAGGCTAATCCACTTGTCCTGAACTACTAGCCTTTCCTTAATCAAGGCGATCTGCGCAACGGGACCGCCCCGGGCGAAGAGCCCAAAGTTGTAGAAAAAGAACCAGAAGAGATTCAACTACGGCAAGTGAGGCACGTTGGAGTTGTCGTCGAGTCCAAGGTCATGATTATAGCAAGATGCAGGAGAGACTGGTCCTGCACTGCTTAGGTCCTGGGATTCCTCATCCGGCTTCATGGCAGCCGAGGACGCGGCTGCAGCCGGTCCCGACGGTGTGGAATCGGCAGCAATTAAAGAGGCCTATGTTGTGGACTAATTGATAAATGATCATGTTAAGAGATTATAGCTGCTGCCATTGCTCGAATCGGTTTCTTATATTACGCTGAGGTCGTTGTTGCTTGACTTGTCAGACAACTTGGCGCAAGGAGATGTCACACGAAAAAAATACCAAAAAACGGGCGTGGCCACGCCACGGTATTTTATGTGTTATACCCCCTTATATCCCTTGCGACAGGAGACGATGGACGGACCGGAAAGCATTGATTGGCCAGCTGATCTGGCCTCATTGGGAAGAGACGGACAGCTCCGATGTAATTGGCCATGGCTATCGAAAAGACGTCAAAGCCCGTATTGAAACTGCTAGCCATTGTTTCTCCCCGCGGTTCTCCGTACAATGGTGACACCAAGATGGACTTGTCCGATTGCATTGGCTGAACGGTGCTCCTAATTTCTGTCGCAGAGGATATAAGGGGGTATAACACACAAAATACTGTGGCGTGGCCAAGCCCATTTTTGTGTGACAATTTCAGCCATCCGGCCCCCGGGATCGTGACGAAGCATCCCCGCCAAGGCCCGGCGGCACCGCAGCTTCAGCGCCAATAATATTGCCCGAGTCCCGGGACTCTCACGTTTCTCCTACATTCAACCTCCCCATTTCCTCCTAGTATGAACAAAGCAAAGGTGAGTGGCATATAATTGTGCTCAAGCACACCGACTCACATCGCGCAGGACCAGAAGCGTGCCCTCCGCCAGAGATAACAAGCGAAGGCATCGCCAACGGCATAAAGAATACGTAGCCGACCTCGAGCGGAGACTGGCTGAAACACGCAAACGTCGTGTCCATAACCAAGCAAGTCCAGGCGGCAGCACGGCAAGTTAGCTGGGAGGACCGACAGTTGAGGCACATCCTCCGTGCCCAAGGACTAGACGACGATGCAATTCATTCCCTGAATCGGGAGAACCTGACCAACTCGCTCGACAAGACGTACTCAAGAAGCCCTGTGATGTCATCGCCGAAAACGTAGAGTGCAGGTTCGGGCCGTCTAATAACATTTCACCCGGAAAAGCCAGTGCCGAGAAAATCTTGCCTTGCTCAATGCTCACAAACAGCATGTACTGAGCAGACATCACAAAATGTTGCGAATGCTCCGCCTTGCAAGCTTACGATTCTCAAAGTCAATCCTAATGCCGGCATCACGCAGGTGCCAGACGCGGCCGACGAGCGGCAGGAATGTCAAGGGCCAGGTGGCGCCGAGTGTTTGCAAGCCCGAAAGATGCTGATGCGCTTTGCACCACTGAGGATAAGCTCGATGGAATTGCCAGCGCTCTAGAGAAGGGTTGTGTTGAGAAGGGGACAGGCAGGGGTTGTCGGGTCAAGAATGATGCAATTTGGAAAGTCCTGGATCGGTGTTGTGGCTAATTGACTGATTCATCCATCCTGTTCGAATATGTAACCAGAAATAATAATCAGTCAAGGGCGGTTGAGTTTTCTCAGCTGCCAGCGAAGAATGGCATGTTGTTTGTCAGTGGGCTCGAGACTCGAGAATCGAATGGGCAGTAGCTAAGGCTTACACTCTTGAATAAAAGCAGCGGGCAAAAATTCGTCAAAGCAAGTCAAGATGGGGTCTGTCGACGGAATATAAGGGGATATAGTCGTCTGGCTGCCCAATTAGAGCGCATCGAATTCTTTGTGACACGGAATAGTACCCTTCAAACGACTACAGACGGTGGCCACACCACATCAGCTTCAGAGCCAGGTCGCCATCAACGGCAATCTATGTGACACAAAACGAGTTTTTCATCACTCATGTTTACTAAAAGTGTGACTGTGGCTCAACAAGCTTTTGCCAGTTGCAATCTCTAGTTCACACTACATGATGCCGGTACTAAATGTGTCGGCATATCAATTTTCTGTCAAGAAACAAGACCAGAAAAGCAGGGGTACGAAAGCAAAAATCTAGCACATAAATCGATATCCCTACTATTTGCAGTTTGTGTAGGAGTCTCTAGAGGGACAACTAGCATGAATGAGAGACGCGATAAACAGAAAGGACCCTCGGTAATAAAACGACATTGCACTTTGTCAATAGCTTTCATCTACTGGCCGTACAAGCCATAGATGACTCTTGACGACGGTATTCTGCTACTCTACGTAAACGAATCCGTCGAAAACACAAATGTGTCACGTCTATAATAAAAGCCGAGTATTGAAAGGGCTATCTCTGTAATATACATGTGATGGCCACTCCTTAAGTACGTATTATTATATATCAAGAGTGCAGAGACCAAAACGCACCAATTTCATAAAACAGCGCGTCTTCTTCTCGCCCTCGCCATTCATGGCCGTCATCCCAATCCCCTCGTCATCCTTGAGCACTCCCACTAAAACGCTCTACCCTTGAGCATCCCCTTCTCGCGCCAAGTCAAACTCCGCCTCAGTTTCGCCGGCGCAGACTCTCCGTCCGTCTCCTTCCTCGCATCGCTGATAATGGCCCACTCGGCCACCGTGGCCCCCGTGCCATTTTTAGCGTCAATGTCTCTTTGGCCGAGACCTTGGTTCCCGGTAATCAGCAGCGTCGCGTACCGGGCTGCGGGCACGGGCTCGCCAAGTGTGATGTTGGTCGTGTTGCCCAACGGAATGGCAATGGCATCCAGATTGGTAGTTTGGGCACTGTACGGGTTGGACAGCTCGATACCCGCCAAGTGCGACACGACTGTATAGTTGGCAGTCTCGGCGGACGATGCCACGTCCACCTCGGCAAAGCTGGCGATGGTGGAGTTGTGGAAGACGACGGTGGCATTTACCGGCGGCGCCTGGGCCCAGTTGAAGTGGAGGCTTGAGACCATGGTGCCAACCTCTTCCTGCGCGAGCATCACGGTGACGGAACTGAGGTTGGCGGCGTACCACGGCTGCCATTTCGTGGACGTGGCGCCGTCGACGGCTCCGATGGGGAACTGGCCGGGCCTGTATCTGCCGGGCGATTCGGCGGATTTGCACTGGAGGAGGTTGCCGGGAGTGGTGTTGATGCGGCCAATGTCGCGGTTGGGCACGACGGCCGTGCCATTCACGGATAAGTGGTATGCGGTTGCGTTGCCCTCGGCGCCCACGTCAATCGTGATGGTCTTGTTGGCGAAGCGCTGGTCCGCCGAAGCCAGCGGCTGGACGTGACTGGCCCGCCGCACCGTCGTGTGTGTCGCGTTGGATGAGGCGGTGAATGGCCAGCCGCGCCAGTAAAAGGTTCGGTAGCTGAGGTGCGAGATCTGTGGCGGCAGATTGGGGTTGATGTGAAGGACATCGTCGGGGAGCAGCCGCAGCCCCAGATACCCAAACACTCCGACCTGATTTGCACCGCCGTGGCCGGTGAGGAAGGGGTACGCGGGATGGGTGCCGCCGTTGGTGGTGGCATTGTCAATCAGTTGCTCTGACAGTTGGTAGAAGGGTGCGCGTGCATACGGCTTGTACGAATACTGCGAGTAGGTGTATGCTGAACAGCCAGAGGGCGAGACGTCGTTTGCAATGATGGAAAAGAATGCCCACGTCATGGCGGGGCCATCTGGCGATTGTTTGTTTGCGTACTGTCGCATGACTATTAGCCTTGATAGGGTTCATTGGGGTGAAACAGAGCTGCTGTTCTACTCACGTAGTCTAAATCATTGAGCGACTCCTGGGTGGTGTAGTTTGTTGTGTAGGAAAGCGGAAACGTGTTCAATATGACATCCGCCTGCTTCACCGCGGCACTTCCGTTCATGGTGGTGAACTCGAGCGTGACATTGTTCTCCCGGAGGAAGAGCACGTTGGTGGCCATGGAATCCCATGTTGCGTTCTTCTCCTGCCCAAATTGTTCCCGGAACGTGTTGGCAGTCTGCAGCGTTTCGGCAATCAGAGGCATCGTGTAGCCACCTGCGTCGACGTGGTTTGCATACTCATCCTGCCCATCATTGGTTAGCGGAACAACAGGAATAGTTGTTTCGAAAGACAAAATCACTCACGGGGTCCGTCATGTTCTTAACAGTCCAAGATGAGCCATTGGGTGCGAGGAGGTTTGAAAAGAGCGTCGCGACGGAGTCATACACTGGAAACAGGGAATCTTGAAAGTAACGGGTGTCACCCGTCGCGACGAGTTGGTTGACAAACGATATGCCAATGTCTCCATTCAGATGGTACTGGTAGTCCCAGCAGGGACCGGTGGCGGTGCAATTGCCAAAACGACCACTCGTCCAGGGGAATACGGCCGCATCTTTGGAAAAGACGGTCTTGTTCTGAGAGCTGGTGTAGCTCGTCTGAGCATTCGCTTTGGCTTGGGCATACTTGTTGACGCGATAGTTGGTAATCCGCTCGGCAGACTTGGGGTGCGACACCACAAGCCCTGGTTGCATAAACAGATCGGCATCCCAAAAGATGAGACCGGCGTACGAGTCCGAGACCAGGCCTCCAACCGAGATGCTGTCCACATTGACGGGGGCGTCCTTGACCAGGTCTTGGGCGTTTGGTCCGACTGTACTCTGCAGCAGGTAGTACGTGTTGGCAACCGCGATGATGGCCGAGTCAATAATGTAGCTGTCTTGGGGTAGGGTTCCGTTCCTGGGGTCAGCATAGCTGTCGACCGAGTGGTCGGGCATCACGTCGTTCCACTCCTCAACGTGAGAACGTAGAGACTTGTAAAAGCCCTGGGACAAGGCCGACGACGCGGCATTCTTGGCAACCTGCTGAGGGTCGTCAAAGGCATCTCCGGACGCCGCGCCGACCCATTTTGTGATTCTCACAGCCTTGCCGGCGGAGAATGTGACGGGGACGGCCTGGGCAATAGAAGACTCGTTCTTGCGGATATATGGCTTGTTGCTGACAAGAGTCTTGTGGCCAATGTCAACGTCGTCGGAGCCCGTCATGTTGGCGTAAATGTACGCAGTCACATTTGCGGTGCCAGTGGGCCGAACAGCCGAGTAGATGGCGCCGGCATCCTCGCCAGACTTGACAAAGTCGGTTCGAACAGCGGAATAGCCATCAAGGACATTGACAACCGTGGCATTCGAGTCCACCGACGGGACAATCTCCAGATGCACAACCGCCTGGTTGATGTGAAGCTTGTTTGTGAACATCAGGTACCGGATATCGTAGGAGCCATTGTTGGCGGCAGACGGGGACCACGTGTACGACCAGCTGAGGACGCCGGCTTTGAAGTCGTATGTTGAGCGAAAGTTGGCCACGGTCTTGTTGTCGACCGTGGAGTCGAGGTAGACGCCGTTGCCAAGGTCGAGCACCAGACCGCTCCAGTGAGGCACGCCACTTATGACGCTCTCATAGCCGTACTGCAGCAGCCAGCCAAAGTTGGTGCCGTTGGTGTCGGGTTGGGCGTTCCAGAAACCAGCAATGGTGGCAAAGGACTGACGCCTGGAGAAGAGCGGCCAGCCGTCGATCAGGTCGCCGCCCTCGTCCTCGGAGTCGAGCTCAAAGAATGGGCCGACGCTGGCAACGCTGATGCCAAAGTAGCCATTGGCAACAGAGCCTCGTGACTGATAACGGCCTTGCTCAAGGGTGGTGGTGCTGAGGAGCCAGTTCTCGTCATCCCAAGTGACGCCGGCAAAGTCAGTCTTGTACACGGTTGTGCCGTTGCGGCCACTGTCAAGCCCACTGCCACTGTATCGCGCCAGACATTTGGCGACGCGGTCTCTGGCGCTGCAAAGACCGAGAGTCGCGGCTATGACGGCCGCCTTGATGGGCTGCCGAGTTTTGTGTCAGGGGGAGAAACAGCGTCACATGTTCCAAGGTGGACTCACAGTCGCGCGCATGTTGCGAGTCCCGCAGGTCAATCAAGGCAACGAGGGTTGTTTCTCTTTACACTAGACGCGGTGGAACTTGACGGTTTGAAACAACTAACTAGCACTTGAGACAAAGAAGCAAATGCCACCGGGACAACGAGGCAACGGGTCCTTGGCAGGATTTGTATTCCAGCAGAATCTCGTTTTATACCCGTCAACGACAAACTAGACGAGCCACTCGACGGCCAACAAGCACGAACAATGTGGTTCTCAAGCAGGAAATGGCTAACGGGCCGACTGGTAACTAGTCATCTTGTGGCGGCAAGAATCCTTGGTTTATCAACCCGGTCCGCGCAGCTCAGCCCCACAATGCTAACCGTGAGCAAATCTCCGTCATGTCTGGTTAGACATTTGATGGCTTTTAGCCCGGCGGCACTCTGGAGTTGTCCATTGACGTGCCGGTGTCGTCGTCATGTTGGTCCGGTTCAATCGAGAGGGGCGGCCTCGTCCGGGCCTCTGGAGGCTGTAGGGCATCAAGAAAGATACACATGTATCGACACGAAGAGAAAGACAAGACAAGTAGTAACCTGGCTTATGAACAGCCCCCGCGGCTCTCGAACTGCTGGTTCAAGTTGCGCCAAAGCACACATGGTTGGGATACCATCAAGGTCATCTGGAATTGTCTCGCCCAGATTTTCGCATCAAGTTTATGACGTGCTCGTCGGGCATGAGCAATATTACCGACAGCGGTCTCGAATTTCCGCTCGCTTCATAACCAACAGTCTCGTCATGGTTGTCCCGGAGCCCACCGGCGCCCCCGCCAACCGCCTCCCACG